TTTATATAAATGGGAACATACTATATGTATTTCCCTGAAGCTATGTTTCTGAGATTTATCCATTGATGCTTTGAGTTCGAACCAAACTTCACTAAACTCTTCATATATTGCTCAAATATAAGAGCAAACTTGAATTTATCATTTGAGGCTCCAGCTGTCTCCTCACTTTTCTATCCAACACTATATGCCTATACTACAACTCATCGATGTATGTCTTGATGGACATTTGGGCTAGTTTCAACTTTTTATTGCATAAATAGTGTTGCTATGAACATCACCGGGCTTGTTTCTGACACACTCGTACAAAAGTTTCTTCAGGGAATACACCTGGAAAAGGAACTGTTGGATCAGACATATGAACTGTTGGATCAAAGGAATATCAATTTTAAGAGATAATGCCAATTTGTTTTCCAAAGTGGCTGTAGTGATTTGCATTCCTATCAATGGTGAGTAAATGTTCCAGTTCTTCCAAATCCTATCCAATATTTAACACTGTCTGACTGTAAGATGTTTAAATTGCTTTTGCTGAATAACACTGACTCCTTACTTGGGCCCACAAATTAACTAAAAGCAGGAGAAAAACTTGGTATCTCTGTCTCCATTTTTGTATCAGTCGTACTTTGCTGTGAGCCATTCTGTCCTGCAGCTACTTTGGAATCAAGGAAGGACAGTAATGATCGATAGTATCTTTGTGAGAAAGGAATGACACTACCCTAAGAAACAGCAGAGCCTTACAGGAGAGACCACCTCTTCAAAGGAGGACAATTATCTGTAATGATGAGGCTATAGTGGAGCTGGTGCAATCATCTTCTGGGAACCAGATTGCTTCCCTCAAGTGATGGCAGCAATAACAACTTCTTCAGAACCCTCGATGAACAAGGACCAGGCTCCACTTGACTGCTGGAACACACATGTGACTGGGACTGCATACTATACATACCTTTCGTCCCCTTACTTCTTTGTGTATATGAAGCTAAAGCTCATGTCTGTACCCAGAAGATGACGAAAGATGGCCTGAGTGTTTACTTTGCCTCTTCCCACGGCATGTCCCAATCTGTATAATAAATCTCCCTTTTCTGCCCTTACCACGTCTCTTTATTTGGTGTAGAGGGACAGTAGCCAGACCTGACATGTGTAGAAGTCCAGATGTTTGGACCTGGGATCCAAAACTCCAGTTTCATGACTTTTTTATTTTTGCCAATCTGGAAGGTATCAAATGGAGTTCCATTGAGGTTTCGATTTGTATTTCACATATGAATTATAATATGCTTTTACTACATTGGCAAGTGCTATCCAGTGATAAATGAGACTGAACAGAATACTCAAGTTTTAGCCACCATCAATAACTATAGATTGTTGTTACTTTAACTAAACGTCATAGTGGGCAAATTCTTTGGTTAAAAGTTAAATGCAAAGAGTCAAGACTTGTAATAATAATGGTGTAATGCCTGTGTTGCAGAGTGGTAGAAGGTAGAGACAATCAAATGGTGAGTAAAGAAAATAATTTTTAGACTAGGAGCATAGAGCATGTGCTTAGCATACCAGACCCTAGTTTTTAATCCCTACATCCTTACCATGAAGAGGAAAAAAAAGAAAGAAAGAAAAGGAAAATAATTTTCATGGACATTGTACTCCTTGTATTTTTAGTTTACTGAAGGTGTTATAAGAGAATTAAGAGAAAAAGTGAGTCCTGTACATCTATTTAGTTTATATCACCTAACCTCTGCTGCCCTAAAGAATATCTAAAGAAAAAGGGTTGAACACATTTTGTTCCTGATTCAGAGCCCAGGAAATGGTGATGCTATTAAGGTCTTAAAATAGAATTTGCATACTCAGGGATTTATAGTGAAGTGTTAATAAAGGAATATCTCCCCTTAGACATGACTCTGGATTGTCAACTTTGGATTGTAAACCTGCTGACTGATTAAAATGCTAAACTTAGTGAGGTCACATCCTGGTTGAACTCTAAACCGCCAAGAAACATGTTCCCCAGAAAAAAAAAAAAAACACAAGTTTTTCCCCCCCCAAAAAAGGGGGTTTTTTTTTTTTTTTTTTCCCCCCCCCCCAAGGGAAAAATAAGTCAGGTAGGCAAGCAAATCAGGTGATCAGTATTAAGCCTAGAAGTAGTCTGTCTATGGAAGCAGAGCTGTAGAAAAGCAATGTTACCAAGTACTTGGTTTAACCTCAGAATGAGCCTGGGCCCAGGAGTCTGAGTAGGTCTGACTTGAGATAGGGTGAGAAACAAGCACTGGAAGGCTGGGTGCTGGTGACCTCTGAGCTTCTCCTGTCAATGTTAATACAGAATAGAAGATCGAAGCAGATTTCTACTCATTGGATTGTTGGGGTGTAAATGTACATTTAAAAGCTTTCTTCATGCAAATTAAAACACACTATTTGATTCCCCTCACCCCTGTTCGAATAGCCATCATCAGCAACACACCAAAACAGGTGTTGGCGAGGATGCCGGGGAAAAGGAACCCCTTCACTGTTGTGGAATGTAGACTAAGTCCCAACCACTCTGGAAAAAAATTTGGAGGCTATTAAAAAAGCTGGACCATCGATCTACCATTTGATCCAAGCTAATACCACTCTTGGGGATATACCAAAAGACTGTTACTTGCAGAGGCACCTGCACATCCATGTTTATTGCGGCACTATTCACAATAGCCAAGTTATGGAAACAGCCAAGATGCCCCAGCACTAGACGAATGGATTAAGAAAATGTGGTATCTTACACAATGGAATCTATGCAGCCATGAAGAAGAACGAAATGTTATCATTCGCTGGTAATGGATGGAACTGGAGAACATCATTCTGAGTGAGGTTAGCCTGGCCCAAAAGACCAAAAATCGTATGTTCTCCCTCATATGTGGACATTAGATCAAGGGCAAACACAACAAGGGATTGGACTATGAGCACATGATAAAAGCGAGAGCACACAAGGGAGGGGTGAGGATAGGTAAGACACCTAAAAAACTAGCTAGCATTGTTGCCCTTAACGCAGAGAAACTAAAGCAGATACTTAAAGCAACTGAGGCCAATTGGAAAAGGGGACCAGGAACTAGAGAAAAGGTTAGATCAAAAAGAATTAACCTAGAAGGTAACACACATGCACAGGAAATCAATGTGAGTCAATGCCCTGTATAGCTATCCTTATCTCAACCAGCAAAACCCCTTGTCCCTTCCTATTATTGCTTATACTCTCTCTACAACAAAATTAGAGATAAGGGCAAAATAGTTTCTGCTGGGTATTGAGGGGGGGAGCGGGAGGGGGTGGAGTGGGTGGTAAGGGAGGGGGTGGGGGCAGGGGGGAGAAATGAACCAAGCCTTGTATGCACATATGAATAATAAAAGAAAAATGGAAAAAAAAATAAAAGCTTTTCTTTTTCCTTCTCTCTCTCTTTTTTTTTTTGGTGGGGGCTGGGGTTTGAATTCAGGGCTTCACACTTGTAAAGCAGGCACTCTACTGTTTGAGTCACACTGCCAGTCCATTTTGCTTGGCTATTTTGCAGATGGAGTTTTGTAAACTATTTGCCTTCGCTGGCTTCAAATGGTGAACCTATGGATCTCAGCTTCCCAAGTGGCTAGGACTATAGATGTGAACTGCCAGTGCCTGGCTCTTTTTTTTTCAGGTGGGTCTCACTATGTTGCCCTGCTGGCCTTAAACTCCTGTTTCTCTTGCTTCAGCCTTCCAAATAGCTGGGATTACAAGTTCTCCTGGTCTTTATAAATTTACATCTTTGAAAAGCAATTTAGCATAACTATGAAGAATTTAAACATTTTCCTATTTTTTGGCCATATAATTATGCTTGTAAGAATCTGCATAATGAAAGTGGACTTATTAAAATAATCTCAAAAATACATAAGAGGCTATACAGATGAGACCTAGGGACCAGAAACATCCTGGTCTTGGGAAGTACACAGACCTGGGAGCAGCTGAGAGTTTGGGCAGCCCTGGGACAGCAGAGACTTCTCAATGTGCTGCCTCAACTTATAGAACTGTTACCCTCCTGTCTGCCTTAGCTTTTATCATCTAACTTCTGCTTCTTTAGTTTCTACAGCCCCAGTCACCGGGCAGTATCAGCTCTTCACTCTTGATAGGAGAATCTTGACTGGCCAGGTTATCTTTCTAAACCTGCAAGTAAGAGGTCTACGCCAGTTCCTGGATTCAGATGTCCTCCCATGGCCCAATCAGCTGAGGCTAAGAGGGGACAGTTAGCCCACAGGTGCTCAGTGTAGTGACCAGTGGTGGGGCAGTTTCCCTTATAAGGAACAAACACTGAAGCTCTGTAAACACTGATGGACATCTCTAGAAACAGAAGCTAAGAAAAAGATGCAGCGACGGGGATCAAGAGGTGCATTAAAGAGCTCTTGCAGCGCGCACACGCACACACAATGTCAATCAACAGTAGTATGATAATTATGGGTTGTCTAGGTGCCAACAATGAGCAGCTAATGCAATGACTTTGATTACGGAAGAACTCGGGGAAATGCTCACAAAATAGTGCTTAAAAAAAGACAGGGTATATAAAACTGCGTATACAATATAATCAGAATTTTCTGAGAAAAAAATTGTATTTTTTAATCTGTCAGGGAAAGTTAGTGGGTAGTGGTATAACTGGTGGTATGAATTATTTGTTCCTTAATGAACAGATACATCTTTCATAATTCGGGGGAAACAGTACTGAAGTCCACGCTCCTTCGCTTTAACTGGCCCGGGACCGCCAGCTTCCGGCTCTCAGCGCCCCGCCCCCCTTCTCCTTCCCACCTTCCCCCGCCCCGCCCCCTCCTTGCTCCATCCCTTCCCCTCCCCCAGCTCTCCCGCCTCCTCCCGTGGAAAAGAAGCCCCTTTCCTGCACTGTCGCAGGCTTTTGTATCACGTTGCTTCCTATCCGCAAAATCAGACGTATTATTTACTCGGAGGGCCAGCAGGGAGCCCTGCTCGCCCTCGGCCGCGCCCCTGCGCCACCGCCCTCCTCCCACCTTCCGGTGGCCGGCGGACTCTGCCCCACCCGGCCTGCAGCGGCATGGCTCCGCTGCGCTTTTCAGCTAATCTGTCATGGTTGTTCCCGGAGCTCCCCAGCCTTCCCGCGCGGCTGCGGGCCGCGGGCCGCTCGGGCTTCGAAGCCGCCGAGGTGGCCTGGCCATACGCCGAGCCGCCCGAGGCGCTGGCGCGCGCGGCGCAGGACGCGGGGCTGCGGCTGGTGCTGATCAACACGCCCCGTGGTGCGTTGCGGGCCCCGGGCCCCGTCTAAGCAGGGCGCGCTGCTCGGGCCGCGGGGTGCCGGAGCCTGCACTGACGCCAGTTCACTCTGCAGGAGACCAAGAGAAGGGGGAAATGGGCTTGGCGGCCGTCCCTGGGAGACAGGCGGCCTTCCGAGAGGGGCTGGAGCAGGCTGTGCTGTACGCCAAGGCTCTGGGCTGTCCCAGGTATCCTACCCTGTCCTCCCCCTCCATGACCTCAGGGTTAGGGCCAGGGATGAGGACGGCCAGTTCTGAGTCACAGGAGCCTGAGTGCATTCCGCCCCTGTAGTCCAGGTCCACTTGTAAACTGCCCTTTGTACTTATCTACTTGTATTAACCTTACCACTCGTTAATGCTCAACCCACGTCCCGGACCCCGTGCTGGGAGCTCAGTGATCAGGGAGATAGCAGGGTAGATACAGTTTGTGATCCATTCTAGGGCAAGGAAGCTGTGGGAGCAGGGTGGGCGTCTAACCCTAACTGAAAGCTGCTGGCAGAAAATGATTAAACTGAATCATGAAGGCTAGGCATCTGCCATGGGCAGGAGGCATACTATTCCAGGAAAGGATGCTGTAGCCAGAGGCAACAGGAAGGTTGGCGAGTTCAGCACAGTTCACAAGGCTGGAGGTGTAGCCTGTTGGGGTTGGGAGGGCCAGAGTGCTTGCAGTATCTGAAGTTAGATGTAGCTGAGATCAGGTGACGGGAGGGAGTGAAAGCCTCAAAGTGGGACTTAGTGAATAAACGTCAGATCCTGCAGAGGTCAAATAGATTTGTTGAGAAGGAGCTGGCAACAAGGGCCTTATTACTGGTGAGTGGGGTGGGGGAGGGAGCAGAAAACAATGGGAAGAGGCTAAGAAATAGATGCAAGGCAAGGAGAGAAAGTAGAGGCAAGAAACATGGAATGCCCAAGGGCAAAGGTCAAAATCATCTTTCAAAGGTCTCATGGGAAGGACCAGAAGGGAGAAGTTCAAAGTATAGGACGGGGTAAGTGATGGACTGAGGTCCCTGAGGCGGGAGGATGGGTTGACACTGAAAAGGAGAGATGGGCAAGAGCTGGCATGGTCAGAGAGCATCCAGGAAGATGTGCCTAGGGAGTTGAGGGTGTGAGGCCTCCAGGTGCATCTTCCCCACAGGATCCACCTGATGGCTGGCCGAGTACCCCAGGGGGCTGACCGAGCAGCAGTCAGAGGTGAGATGGAGACAGTTTTTCTGGAGAACCTGAAGTATGCAGCTGGAGTTTTGGCTCAGGTGAGAGGTAGAAATGTGGGAGACCAGTTGAGGCATGAGACTGGGCACTGGCTCATGCCAGAGGGACAGATGAGTATGTTGGTCAGCGACTGGCTGATGGGGGACAAATGTGGAAGCTCTGTGCACTGCATCCAACATGGTGCTAGGAGAACCTCGTGGGAATGCTGGAACCCATTAACACCCGGATCACGGACCCCCAGTACTTCCTGGATACACCCCAGCAGGGTAGGACCCTGGCCCTGTGCCTGCCTCCTCATCCCTCTTGATTCCTGTGCTCCCTTTGAATCTCATGTCCTCTTCCCTGGGTTTTCCCAGCTGCAGCCATTTTACAGAAGGTTGGAAGACCCAACCTCCAATTGCAAATGGTGAGTGGGAAAAAGGGACTGTTTCTCAGAAGGCCATGTTTTCTAAATCTGGGAAGAATAGTGGGGCCATACATACTACCGTAGTATTTTCTTCCCTAGGACATATTCCACTGGCAGATCATGGATGGGAACCTGACTGGAAACATCAGGGAGTTCCTGCCCATCGTTGGTGAGAGGCCCACTTCCTTTGTTCCTTCTTGGTCTGATGCTCCCTCAGGCCTCAGCAATAGCCTGGGCCTCACGTCTGTCCACATCTGTTTCAGGGCATGTACAGGTGGCACAGGTTCCAGGACGAGGGGAGCCAGGCAGCTCAGGAGAGCTGGACTTCTCATACCTGTTCCAGCTGCTGGAAGACGAAGGCTATGAAGGCTTCGTGGGTTGCGAGTATAAGCCTCAAGGTGGAGTTCCAAGTGTGACCTGTCTCTGGAGGGACAGGTGGGGGTGTTGTTTCTCTCCTTGTGGGTTGAAATGCCACTGCCTCTCCCTCCCCACAGGAGATACGATAGCGGGTCTAAGTTGGCTACGTTCATATTGGGATAGGCGGGGCCACCCACAGGATGGCCGATGAGGACCTTCATACCACCTCTATGCTTCTCTGGGACAATGAGCAAGCATTAAAGACAACCTGCTGAGTATTTTCATATGTGTATGTTATGGGGGTTGGGGACACACAGTGTCTAATGCTTTATTGTCTCTGGGTTGCTTCCTTCCCATTGAGAAGGGACACACAGCTTATGCTCAAATCCTCCAGTCAGTGCCAGGGTTGCTGTGGAAACAGGAGGGTTTCTGAGCCCTCCTTCTTTATAGGGTCCAGGTAGAAGGAATAAACACTGGCCTCAGTGGTCTCAGAGGCAGAGCTGGGACTGGAACCAAGGTATTTTATGTCAATGGCAAGCAGTGATGTCCAAATGGGGATAAAGACCATGGGTCTTGCAAAGAGGGAAGATGGCTGTCAGTGACCAAAGACTGTTAGGCAGGATTCAGACAGAGCTCTGAGGGGTAAGTGCTTGCCACCTGGTGTGAAGTGTGAAGAACTTCCAGGATTCCTCCAGGTAGACAGGAAGGAATCATTCCCTTCTGGATGGGCCCAGGAGCCTGAGAGGGGATAGGCACCTACGGAGTCAACCAGACTCTCGAGTCCTGAGCTGGTCAGTAGTTGTAAAGGTTTGGGGAGGGCAGTCGCTACTGCCAGGCTGCAGCAGCAGATCTCCAGATATTCACAAATCCTTTGGTGTTACTCAAGTGTCCGAGCTCTCCCTGAGGCCCAAAAGGGCTGGTCAGTCCTGCATCAAGTGGACAATCTTATAGATCCCTGATTCCATGAACAGTGATTCTGTGGTTCACTTTCTCAGAGGAGGCGGGTCCAGAGGGTGAAACAGGCTGTGTTGATGACAGACTCCAAGTGGTGGTAGGTAGAGACCAACTGGGCAGGGGGGCTCTCACTGTCCTGGGGCTGTACTGGGAAGGGCTCTCGGAAAACCACTGTCAGAGACTGTGGAAAACATGGTGAGTGTGCAGAGATGAGAGGAGGATATGGGTGGAAACAGGGAGCAGGGCTCAGGAAGTGTGGGCATCTCAACCTCAGCAGATTCTGAGGTAGAGCATTTGGGGTACAGCCTCCCACTGGGCTGACATGAAGCCCCCCTCCTCCTCTCACCGTTTTTCCCAAGTGGGAGTCCAGAAACACTAGCACAAAACAGTCAGTGAACTTCTGATTCAGCACCACCTACAGCAACAGATGAAATGACATCGGAGTGAGATTTGTCTTACCTAAGGGGGCAAGAACCCTCCTGCAGGGCTTCCTGAAGAGATAGGAGGATGAGGAGAGCCCACCTGCAGTCCCAGCTCACTCAGGCCTGTGTCTCCAAACCGAACCTCAGCCTGCCTGTTAGAACCTCCTCAGAATGACTCCAGAGGCTCTGCACAGAGCCTGGTATACTGAAGCTGATCAATGAAGGAGAGTTCCCAACCCTGGCACAAGCCCTCCTAACTTCTCCTGATGTCTGGGTATTCCATAAAGCTTGGCTCTGGGATCCATTCCTGGATGATTTCCTCCTAAGGCTTTAGGGCCACCCGATGTCTGGGTATTCCATAAAGCTTGGCTCTGGGATCCATTCCTGGATGATTTCCTCCTAAGGCTTTAGGGCCACCTGTTGATATGTCTGCTGCCTATCTCGTGAGCTCCAATCCTGGATGTCCACACACTTTCTAGACAGTGAACATCCTCCTGGGTCTCAGACTCATCTTACCACAAGCTGAGTTCATTGCCCTTCCCCAAACCCATTCCTGCTTTAATGTTTCCCACCACTGCAGAGGCATCCTAACTGCCCACACCCACCCACACCACTGTGGTTTTGTCCTAACAGATCTTGGCTTCTCTGGAAGACCTGCTAGATTCTAGAAACTAATCTTTCCCATATGCTCTGTTGTGGGGGCCTGCACCAGACACAACTCTTACTTTTTCACCTGCAGTTTTCTATCCAGAACCACAGCTCTCACTGTGCCTGTCTCTTTCGTCTCTTTATTTCCCCAAGTGCATGCCCATAACCTTATCTCTTTTCTCTGTGACCTGTCCTTTATAGCTGTGCCTTCAGTTTTTAATGTGCACCCAGTTCACCTAGCGACATTGCTAAGACACAGATCCTGAGTCAGTGTGGGGTGCAGCATGAGCATCTCTATTCCATTAGGCTCTTTGGTATGCTAATGCTGCTGGTCTGAGGACCAGACTAAGTAACCAGGTGTTAAAGCCCAAAAGCTCCCTCCTGGGACTCTAATCTCTGAGACCAACCACTGATGAAACCCCAAGAGCTCCCTGGTTCCTCATGTAACCAGGATCTCAAGCTAAGATATGTGTTCTTGGTGAGCCTTTGAGGGCAAAGCTCCTGGTTAATTCTCAGCAAATCACAGCCAGGGCTGGATGCTCAATGCTCAAAAGGTGTTTTTTTTTTTTAGTGGTACTGGGGTTAGAACTCAGGGCCAGGGTCTCACACTTGCTAGGCATGCGCTCTACTGCTTGAGCCACTAAACCAGCCCTGTTTTGTGTTGGGTATTTTCAGGATAGAGTCTTGAGAACTATTTGCTCACACTGGCTTCCAACCATGATCCTTCTGATCTCTGCTTCTTGAGTATTTAGGATTATAGGTGTGAGCCACTGGTGCCTGGCTTCAAAGGTTTTACATGTATCTGTGTAGTTCTGTTCCATCTAGACCAGGGTGTAGGGCAAAACTTTTTTGGACAGGCTGGGGCTTCTGATAGGGCAATCATCTTTGATGAGGATATCTACTGTTTCCCCTTTTAAAGTAGGGTCAAGGGGACTTACCAGGTACTGAGTTCCCAAATCTGCACTCTGGAAATGGCGGCAGCTCTGGGGGAAGCGGCTTAGGAGAACTTTGATCAGGCTCTGGTACCAGGAGATCGTCATGGACAGGAAACAATCCTGGGGAAGGGTCCACAGGGCCTAAGCTTGCCATCTGAGTCAGCAGAGACTCTTTCACCCTCTACCCTGGCTACCTGTGGAATTTCTGGCACCTAGCCCAGCCCTTTCTAGAACCTGTGGTTAAGCACTGTCTTACCAGCTGGGGGTCAATGTCCCCAATGGATTTGGCGTGGACTGCCTCTAGGAGCTCCTCTAGCTCTGCCAGGGCCAGGCGTCCCCCCAGCCTCAGTCTGTCAGGCCCTGGTGGCTCTAGCAAGAAGAGGCGCTTCCAGAGGGTGTCCCGACGGCAGTGCCCACCAGCCAGCCGGACCAGCTGAGCCAGCCGTGCCCGTGCCATGCCCACCTCTGCAGCCAGTGGTGGGAACAGAGGAGCTGGCCCAGGGGCTAGGACAAGGCCTGAGGTCTCCCCAGGGCTACTGGCAGAGCTCCCAGGAGTCTCTGGCTCAGGGGGTAGTCTAGGAGGCTTCCGGAACCTGCGCATGTCAGCAGTGAGTCTGGGGAAGAGTTCTCGTTGGCTGGTGAGCACCACAAAGAACTGCAGCCTGGGAAAGGGAGAGGGCAGGAGAGTGGGGATCATGGCAAGATGTACAGGGCAAGATCAGGAAGAAGGCTGGGAAATGGGTATGTTCAAGGTGGGAGATCTACTTACCGCAGAACATGCCGCTCAGCTTCTCCTTGCTCCTCAAAGGGTGCAGCACAGTGACAGACCAGCAGAGACACATCAAAGTCATCCTGATGGCGAAGTCCCTCTGAGTCCAGGTAGGAGCCAGAGCTGTGCAGTGGGAGTGGGGGAGATGTCAACTTTGAGATCCTAATGAAACCAACCCCACCCTTTCTGCCCAAGAAGACATGGGTCTCTTTACTGCAAGAGTAGCCCAGCCTCAACTAAAACACAGCACTTGCTGGATGCCCCTCCCAACCTACCTATGCCATGCTGACACCAGGGCATACTCATTGTGTTCTGGGCCCCCTGGTCGGGCCATGCGCAACGGCTTCATGTGGTAAGAGCTGGCGTGGTCAGCCACGTAGTTGTATAGCTGGTGGGCAGCAATGAGTGGTGTAGGGAGCTCCAGTGTCCCTAAGGGGAAAGTTATAGGAAACAGCAGACACTAAGCCTGGGACAAGCACCCTGATCTGGTAGGACAGGGGATGAAAGTGGCTAAGGCTGACTGGCAGGCAGTGACTCAGCTTTCGGGGGAGCTCCTGAGTTCCTGTGGAATGCTGAGATGGGGTGAAAGGAGCTCAGAACAGAGGGCAGAGTGCATATGACACAGGGCTGTGGTTCTGATATGAAACCATCTGTGAAGAACTTTAGACACAGACAGACACAGAAACACATAAAGCATGGGGAGATGATATGAGTGATTAACAACAAAGAACCACTTGCCCGGGAGGTGATCCCACTATTGCTGGCTTGTGACACTGTGGCCTGTCTTTTTTGGCCTTACTGGCTTGCTTTTGGGCACTGACCTTGGTAAATGTGATTGCGGCCAAAGTGGGGTCCATCAGGGTGGTGGGCCAGGAAGTGTCGCAGGAAGGTGGTAAGGTGGTAGCCATGCCGCAGCACCAGGTGGGCACCCAGCACATGCTGGTGCACGAGGCGCAAGTGGAAGTCATAGCTGAAGGAGTGTACATGCATCAGGTCCCGCACTTTGTCACACTCCTCTGTGAACAGCATGGACAGCTGGGAGGGGCAGTAGGGAACAGGACAGGGTTAGGGTGTGGTAGCACAGGCTACCCAATCCACATTTTCTTCCTTCCAGGGAAGAAGAAACTTGACAGAGTCCCCCTGTTGCTGCGGGCCCAATGAAACCCCCTCAACCAGCACAGCTGGCTATGAGAAGCCTTCCGCTTAGTAATAGTTCTTTTTTTCAGCAGCACAGGGGGGTTGAACTCAGGGTGTTGTGCTTGCTAGGCAGCTATGTCCCTAGCCCTTTTTGCTTTAGTTATTTTTCAAATAGGGTCTCATATATATATTTTTTTAACCCAGGCCAGCCTGGACCTTGATTCTCCTATTTACACTTTCCACATAGCTGGGATGACAGGCATGTGCTATCACACCCAGCTTTTACTGGTTGAGATGGAGTCTTGTGAACTTTTTGCCTGAGCTGGCCTTGAACCACAATCCTCCTGATCTCTGCCTCCTGAGGAGTAGCTAGGATTACAGGTGTGAGCCATGGGCACCTAGTCATTAGTTACACTTTTTACTACATGTTATAACTCTGTTTATGTGAACCTGGGACCATTTTGAGTGGCTAGGCCTTAACTGTATCCCAGATTCTACTAGAATCTGACACAGAATCATCAATGCAGCAAATATGTACTATCTACCATGTATCCAACAATGACTGCTCAGGGTGCTGAACATACAGTAGGGAATGGGCTAAACCCCTGTCATCAAGGAGCTTACAGTCTAGTTACAGGAGATAGAACAATAAGCATTAGAAAATGTTTACAAAGCACACCAGAAGATGGTGTTATAGAAGATTTTCCCAGGGGGAGACAGGGGGCAGGGGGGCAGGGGGGAGAAATGACCCAAACAATATATGCACATATGAATATATGAATAAAGAAAAAAAAAGATTTTCCCAACCCTTTCCAGCTTTATCTGCCTATCAAACTATCTACTTTTTGCAAAGATGGCACATATTTTCTCCTTAGCACTTCATACCTGTGTGCCCTTTGCTTGGAATGCTGATCTCCCTGACCCCGAGCCTGACTAACTCCTACTCATTCTTAAGGCTTCCTCTAAACATTCCCAGGGCTAGGCCAGGGTGGGCCTCCTTTGACTGATGTATGCCTGCCTGCCTGTGTGACTGAATGAGCCACTGCAGAAGAAGGAAGGAAGGCAGAGACGTGGAGCCGGCAATTTTCTTGATGGAAATCTCCATTCTCCATTACTTAGTACTGAATGTGTGGTTCTGAAATGGCAGGCTCCAACTGGCCATTCTTGGAGGCACTGAGCCTTGGAGTTAATAGAAAAAAACAATAGAGTGTCGATAAATAGAGGCCTAGATATAGGGAGCAAATAAAAAAGAAAAAGAAAAAGAAACAAATGACTGTAGGAGTCAGACTAGCTGTATGACCTAGGTAAGTCACAACCTCTCTGTGCTTGTTTCCTTATCTACGGTAGAGATAATATACAGGTTTCATAAAATTAGAGGCAATGTGAGGAACTGAAATAAACAAGGATGAGCATCACAGAGACCTAGATTTCAACTCAAAGACTGCCACTGACTAGCTGTGTATCCCAGGACAAAGAACTTAATCTCTATGAACCTCTGTCTCTTTATCTATATAGGAGTAAATGATACCTCTTCAGTTAGTATATATACTAAGTGCTTAATGAACAATGGCATCTTCTTTTTTTTTTTTACAGTACTGAGGTTTGAACTCAGGGCCTAAATCTTGAGCCACTCCACCAGCCCTTTTTTGTGATGGGTTTTTTTGAGATACAGTCTCAAGAACTGTTTGCCTGGGCTGGCCTTGAACCGAGATGCTCCTGATCTTTGCCTCCTGAGTAGCTAGAATTATAGGCGTGAGCCACCGGCACTGGTACAACAATGGCAATCTTAAAGCAACTTAGAAACCTGTAAGAGTTAGAGACTGGATAAGTAGGATAGAGAGCTAAGGGAACTCTGGTGATCAGGGGACAAGGATTTCAGAGAAAGCTCAGGGAATAAAGGGGTGAGTCCTTCCTTCCAATCCCACAGTAAAGTGTGAAGGAGTACCTGCCAATCCACAGCTCCCTTCTGAGCACTCTGGCCCAGGTAGGTTATACTTACCATGTTTTCCCTGGTCATGTTATCCTGTGATTTCTTGTGACTACGTATACACACTTGAGTCAAAGGCAACCATTTGGGGCTGGACACGAGCAGTCCAGATATGAAAGTTCCTCACAATAAAGGAATCTGCACTGTTTATACAGGACCCAACTGGATCCCCATCTCTCAGGAAGTACATGTGAGGTAACAGGTATAGCTTTTAGTGTAACATTCTTGGCAACATGAGGAGCTGAACTAAGTACAGCGAGGGTTCAGGTCCCTGACTTCACTCAATCTTCAACTCATTCTGAGCACTTCTGAGTGTCTAGTACCCCTCTTGGGGTACCAAGGCCCTGCCTTAAGGCAGACCGACAGGGACATAAATAATAATAACTAAGTGCCAGGGTCCACTGTGTGGGTGAGTGACTGTATTGACAGGCTGTTCCTCTGTAGATTAGGCTAGACTGCTCATGACACTGATATAAACATATCACACCACCCACTGTACTCAAATGTCCTCACTATCTAGCTATCCATGTTATGGATGACCACTGTGCCAGCTACTATCAGTGCCAGAGTGATCACAGGACTAGACCAGTCACTGTGCTGACCTGCCTTCTGCCTTGGTTCTTCAGCTGAATGCAGCTTTGGAGTACCCAGGGTCAGAGTGGGAGGTGGCCCAGTCATAACACCAGAATGTGGAATGCCCACTGACCTGGCCAGGCCAGAATACCAGGTCAGTCACTGGGCTATACTGCCTGCTGCATTATTCTTATTGCCCATCACATACCTGAGAGTTGACAGCCTGCCCCATTGGGATTCGAGAACATTCCAGTGCAAACTGTTTGACACAGAAGTAGCAGCCCTGGAGGGAGGGTGAGATGAGGTCAGGAGGGTCAGAGACAGGTTGGTCTAGATCTTTCTACTGAATGCCCCCCCTGCTCACCTGGAAAGTCAGCTCCATGAGGATGATGCCTCCGGGCAGTGCCCGCTGCAGGTGGTATGTAGTAACTAGAGAACCAGTGCTCTAAAGAAAGACAAAAAGGGGCAAGTGTTGGGGGCTTACCAGTCTTGAGCCAGCAGGGTGGAAATCCCTTAGGTTCCTGACTTTAAAAATGGTGTCAGTCTGGCATCAGTGACCTCAGTATCACTGTTCTCAGGCATGGGGAAGTAATTCAGGGTCAGTGACTGGTATCTAGGGAATTGCTGACATCACCATGATATGATAATCAATTACCTTGGGGCTCCCCTCAGTCTTGGTTTTAGGGCAGGAGAAGGAGCCTCGACCTTCTGTTCCAAGAATAGCCATGGCCCGCAGCCGGCTGGTGCTGTACAAAAGGGAGAGATGAGAGAACAAGGCAGGGCAGGGAGGTGCAGGATTGTGGCTATCAGACCATTTTATGTGGAACTATTTTGCATGGGAGGAAACAGGTCCACAGATGGAAGGATTTGCAGGTTAGAGTATGGCTCAAGTGGTAGAGCACCTGCCTAGCAACAGTGAGGCCCTGAGTTCAAATCCCAGTACTGCCAAAAAAGAGTAAAAAGGATTTTAGGGAAGAATATAACTGAGTAGAAGGTACAAATTACAACTTCTTTTTTAGAGAAGCTATGACAACTGGGCATTGGGTGTCTGGGGTAACAAGCTGAGCAGCTCCTTCTCAGGGGATTGTGGAGGGGTCACCTGGCCACTGAGAAATAGGGGTCGGGGAAGATCCCAAGAGATACATTCATGCCTTCTCTATGTAATGCTGGAAAAAGTGAGGGAAGCCTGGATAACAGAGAGCTGGTTAGTAAAATGCCGGGGACATAGAATTGGCTTTCTGGACCAAGGTGGTGTCTTGGGAAGGAAAAAGTACATTTTACATTTAAAAAAGTATCTAACTGAAAATAGAAGGGCAAGAAAATGTCTCAGTAAACTGACAAATTTGAAGACACAGAAGTAACTGTGTGTAATGTGAGCAGATTGTTTTTTCCTACACAGCTATTAGTAAGGGGCTAAGAACCTAAGACTGGAGGCCCAGATGCCTAGAGGAATATAGAACAAGGGCCTCAAAAACAGGACTTTGTAGTCTGGCACAGGACAGGAAAGGTAGCTGCAGAGTTGCCACGAACTCAGGGGAGATGGAAGGTGGTGACAGAGGGGTGCTTCCTTCCTAAAACTCAGACCAGTCACTTACTGGCCAGGGAATACACACAACAAAGAAAGCCATGAAGAGAAAAGCCATTTAATCATAGGTGACACACCATATCCAATCTCAGGAGAGGCTAGTGGGTTAGTCAAGACAGGAACTGGTAAGACCCAAATCCAAAAACTTAGGAGCATGTACAAGATTCATATGTGTGGATATACACATATAGGCATGTAAACACAAGGTATGGGTAGACACAAGCTCTGAGAGAATGGACACAGTTCTGTGTATGAATGTGCTCATGAGTTCCACAAACCATATGAAGTTTGTAGTACACGCATGAGGGCTGCATCAAAGTGTCCAAGATCCTTAGATATGTGCATCGGCCTAGTGGGGTGGGATGAACATGCATACTGTCAAAATGTAACCAACATGAAGACAGGAAGGGCCATGGGCTTCACCCACAGTGGAGAAGAGAGTAGGGAAGGAGGGGTAGGCTCACCTGCGGGAGGGTGAGGGGGGTCGCAGTGGTACCAGCACAAAGCCTATGCTCTGCAGATACTGCACATATTGCTGTAGGAAGACCAAACTCAGCTCCTTCAGCCATGGCTCTTCACGGGCTCCTGATGGAGGTATATCCAAGGATTCGCAGCTCATGGGGGTCTCTCGGCTCCCAGACCCTGACTCTGGGCGATGGTGCCGCTGTGAGAATGGAAATTAAGGCTCTACTCACTGTCAGACCCCTAAGGGTGGAGGAATGGAGGGCACCATGGGGGTAAACAGATCTCAGAAGAGAAATCTTGGAGTCTTGTGTCTCACCTGCCCCTCAGGGGGCCCAGAGGTTTCTGGGGGTCCATGCAGCCAGGCAGCTGGATCAAAGAGCAGGGCTGTTGCACAGTAATGGACCAGGCGGGATGACTGCTTCAGGGTCTCCAGCTCCCCAGCCTGGTGACATGAGGCAGTAAACACTGGAGCTGTGGTCAGGGAAAGGTCACAGGATCTTCATGGAAGATGTAGGCTGGGGTCACACTGGGGTCACTCACACTGATGGGCATGCTGGCTGGGGCAGAACGCTGCTGCCACGTTACAAATAGGTTCTCCATCTTCATCTGGCGCTCCAGCTCTGGGGGTGGGAAGCATTAGTAGTAGCCCCAGGAGCCATCCCTCCTCTTCCACAGCCTACAGATTTCCCCTGCCCAATGCCAGGCTCAGGACCTTCACCTCTGCGTTCTGTCATCTTGATCTCCAAGAACTGCTGACCATGGTATGTTACAGGATCAGGAGGTCTGGGTATAGGACCAACTGTGGAGCTGGGGCGGGCAGCTGTGATGTCCCTCAGGGCCTCATCAAAGGGGAATGTGTCCAAGGGAAGGGGACCCCCACCACGAGAGGACCCACTCAGCCGGCCCTGCTCCCGGCTCAGTGGGGGGCTTGCACTCCGGATGAGGGTCTCTACTTCCATGGTCGGCATCAGGAATGGATTTGGTTCCTGAGATAAATGGAGAATCATGTGGGTTCATGGCCTTTGTCCTTGGACCCTCTCTCCCCTCTAAGGGTTTCCTTTCCAACTCCCTCTCTTTTGCCTTGGCTCTCAATTCTGTCCCCTATCCCATGCTTCCTTTAACTGACCCCTGAATGGCCAGAACTAGAGGAGGGAAAAAGGCAGCAGGCACCTTTTCATCTTGCATGGGAAAGTCCAACTGGCCATAATGATGGAAAAGCCCAAGCTTCTGGCTGAGCAGGCAGAAGATAAGATGTGCCCGTGCATTCTGCCACTGCACAAGGCGAACCAGCGCTCTTCCTAATGTTGCCCCCAGGTCTGGAGCCCAGTTGTAGGTCAGCAGCTGAAGCTGTAGGTCAGAGGTCAGGGTCAGTGAGATCACAGAACCCCTCCTCCCTCCCAATTTCTAACTCCACATTTACCTTCTTGTCCACAATCTCTAGCAGCAAGAACCTCTGCCGAGGAGCATTTCGCCCCGAGCTCCCATCACCTCCTGACTCGAAGCGCTGCACAGCTTTGGCAGCTATGGGGTGGGAAAGGGCACAATGGAGGTCTCCCCCCATGGCAGGATTAGATACCAGTCATCAGTCACTCAAGCCCACCCTCCCCTTGGCTACACTCTCACCCTGCTGGGTTGGTCTCCTCCACTGCACGAAGTTCCTTCCCAGAAGCAGCAGATGTCGCTCAGCTGCTGGGCGGGGAGCTAGGCCCAGCTGTCCAGGGGAACAAGGACTGAAGATTTCTGGCTCTGAACTCCTATTGGGAGGAAGGGGCAGACAAAAAGGAAACCATCCCTGACCCCATTCTCTAGTTTAGCCTCCCTGGGCCTAGCTCCCACCTCTCCTAGCTCAGCCTCCGTGGGTTTGGCTTCCTAAGTTCCCAGTTTTTAGGACGTCTGGGGAATTTCCCTCCAATTCCATGAGATTCCAAACTCACAAATGCTGCTCAAAGATACGGACACTGGTGTCTCCAGCCATTGAGGTGACTAGAGTGGTGAACTCAGACAAGACGGATGGAAGAAGGAACCGGGACACCATGTGGGTGGAGCTTCTGGACACTGAGGCACAACCTGGAGGGCAGAGAAGTCACTGTAGAACTGCAGGATGGACACCAGACAAGAGGGTTGAGGGCTGGGAGATGGGTTGGGGTCTTACCAATTTGAAACATAAACCCCATCCAGTGTTGAATGACACGAGCAAACACAGGGTGTAATGTCCCCACCTCACCCTCCTCTAGTTGTGTTGTCCGGCGTCTAAAGACAGAGCAAGAGGAAGAACTTCCACACCATACACAACACATGTATATTTATACAAACCAAACACCCATCTGTGATTTTACACCTGTACTCTCCCATGATACTACATCACAGCACACGCATACCTTTGTCTCTGTGTTCCAGAATCTGGACCTGGTGCTCGCTCAGTTCCACCTGGAGTCCGAACATTCTCAGTTTTATGACGCCTCCGACCCCGAGTGTCTTCTGGCCGATCCAGAACAATGTCATCTGTTGTTTTTGGGGAACCCAAATCTCCGCCTTCTATTTTACTCTGGGGGCAATGTAGGGAATGAAGAAGGGTTATTAGAAAGAAGAAAGGGGTGAGGATGGAGGCACGGTGATGACCCAGGAGGGTATGGAGGCCTGGGTTTAGGCCCTGGCTTTCCTGGAGGCTGACTAAGCAGTCCTGAGCATGTTACTTAACTTTCTTGCGCCTCATCTTTCTCAAGGTAAAAGCTCTACTTAATCTTGCAGGCTGTTAGAAGATCCAACAAGAAAAAATGGAATTGAAAGCATTTAGCAAGTTGGGGCTCTCTGTATCTGTGAGAACCTGCCATGTTCTGTGAACATCTGTCCAAAGGACAGAGCAGTTTTATCACAAAGGAGGTCTGGGGTTGGGGATGGGAATAGGAGGAACTAGGAGGCAGGCTACAAAGTAGGGCACTAACTTTACCACTTCTTCCCTTACCAGCATATCCCAGAAGCTACGCCGGCCAGCTTTGCTGGGTGGAGTCATAGGTTCTCCAGGGACAGGGGTAGGAGGAAAGGTGCTGACTTGGCCTAAAGGGCTCTTGGTTTCCAATGATCCACTTCTGAGACTTCCTGAGGACACTAGACATTACAGACTCCCATCACAGATCATAAATCCTCACTCTAGACAAGTAAGCCCCAAGACTGGAGTGAGAATGCCCTGCCACCCACTCTACCTGTTAGTGAGTGTAGGCAGCTGATAGTGTATGGGTGCATGTGTTTGTGAGGTAAGATCCTGAGGCAATCTCCCTCCCCAGGTGGTGGCCAGCTGCATGTGTACACTTTTGCCAGTGCTTCACCTTGATGATGCACAGAAAAGGTGATGAGTAACTGTGAATTCGTATTTCTAATGCACCCCACTTTTGTACCCTCACCTGCACAATTTCCTGCCTGGATTTGTGACATTCTCTGGACCTGGGGGGAAGGGGAGGAGGAATCTTAACCTGCATACCTGGGGGTGTATTCTCTGTACACAGTGAAGCTGGCAGCAGCTGCAGCTCCATGATGGCATCAGCCAGGGCCTGGCGAGCTGCTCCCCGGAGCTTCTCCTCCAGCTGCACAATGCTAATGTTCCCCTTTTCCCACACGTCCAGTCGAAGCCGTGGGGCTCCATTCTGAGCTGAAGGAAAAAATGATGGTCACTTGAGGGTATCCCTAGATCCCACCCTACTCATCACCTTGCTTCCTACAGCATTGACTGACTACCCCATACTTTGGTCAAGCTTCTCCCACCTGAAGAACTGTCCAGAACAACTGGGCAGCGGATGACCTGAGTCAGTTGCTCAAATTCCTCTTCTCGCAGTGCATCTGGGGACCCCGGAGAAGAGGGGGGCCACAATGCTAGTGAGATAGGGGCCCCTGCTTCATCCACAAAGGCTAGAGTGATACAGGCGACTCCTGGGTAGAAATCCATAGCAAGGTTTAGATCTAACACTTGAAAATTTCCCCTCCTCAAACCCCCTTCAGCTGTAAGGCTGACAAAGGTCCTGTCAGACACAAGAGAAAACCCTTTCCCATACCTGGTAGTACCACAGGCCCATGCCCTGCACTGTACCTTTGCCCCCAGTGCCTTGTCCACCAGGCTTGTTATACAAGTAGATGTCCAAGTCAGGAAGGCCACCCTGTGGTGGGAGTGGATGCTGGGGAGAGAATAGCCATGGAACACTAAGGTGGGTATCTACATTGGGGAGCAGGGTACAGGTGCACATAGGAACTCAGGAAGATAGGCAGATAAAGATGTCTGGAGGGCTGGATGATTATGGGCCCATGGGTGAAGGCATGAATTGGGGTATCTAGAAAACAGTTACAGTCAGGGTATATAGGGGTACACAAGACTGAGGAGAGAGGTGAGGGCAATCTCACTTGGAAATGGTTCCGGCTGTTACTGTCTGTATACTTGGGAGAGTGCAGGAAGATGAGCAGGTTCTGCCGAAGGTACCAGGCCAGAGCAGGAAGCCAGGGCCTGCAGGAGTAGGGCAGGGCCAGATGCAGAATCTCTGAGGGGAGACTTCCAGGCGGCTGGATGAACTGCAGAGTGGGAAGGGTGAGTCAGAGCTGAATGCACAGTCTCTAGCCTAGACTGCTCTGGGATCTGTGGCTGAGCCTGGGAAGAATGCTGGAGTCTGGGAGGATGCTGACCTCCACATCAGCTGGTGTCAGCTTGCAGTTCCTAACCAGCATGACTGTGATAACGTCCAGTGTGGCCTCATCCAGGCGCCGACGCAGAACCCGTACTAGCTCATCTGTGATCTCAGGACCTTGACAAAGTCATTGCAGGAAGATAGGGATACTGGTAAAGGATCCAGCTATCCCTATACTAGCCCTTAAACCCCAAACTCCAACAATCCCTCATACTGAAGGTAGTTAGGCATGCTAGCTGAGGAGGAAACCAGCACTAGTTTCTAGTTTTTCCAAGCTATTTACTGTGACTGTGGACATATGAGTTACCTGAAAGCCTCAGAGCTCTCATCCAAAAGATGGGAATTAAAATAGCACCAAGCTCACAGGTGGGTCACAAGTTTTAAAAGAAGGTATGTAACAGTCTGAGCCTGAGACCAGGTAGGTACATATTACCTGGACACCATAGGTTAAACATAGTCCAAAAACCCATCATCTTCACTCTAGTCTGTCCCAGTCTCAGACCAGTGCAGCCACCATCTACCCCCTGGTCACCTGGCTCATTTTCCCAAGCTGCATCTCAATCAGCTGTGAGTCCATTCCCCTAAATGTCATCATTGGAGTCTGTCTTCTCCCACCCAGCTCCTGCTCAAGCAGAGTCCAGAGCATAGTCAGAACTGGAGGGAAGGGGTCTAGGGTAGAGTAAGAAGAGGAGGAGGCTCTGAGAGAAGTCCCAGAGGATTCTGGAACCTCATGGGTCACTTCCTGACCTCTCATAATCTTTACCTGCCTGCCCTACACCATGCACCAGCAGCTGGATATGTCTGTCTACTTGGCCCACGGGGCGAGCAGCATCTGAACTGCGGCTGGAAGCCATGTCCAAGGGAGAACGAGGACCCTACAAAGACAAATATTGTCAGAGTCTAACTTTAGGGAGCAAAGTTTGAGGGGAGCACAGAGGCAATGGAGAGTAGGAGCAATACGTGCCGAGGCTTCCTCAGAGTAAATGGGTTCTTGGCTCCGGGATAGAGCTAGGGAAGGGGGTAGAGTATCCGCTTCCCACGGCCGGTCACTACAGGATGTCTCCAGGAGCCTGGGAAAGAGTAACAAGGTCTTTGGACATGTCTTCTCCCATGCCATCCCTGACTTTTAACCCATCTTTTCAGGGCCCACATACCGAAGGTAATAAACAGCCTTTGTTGCTCGTTCCTGGTAAACAAACATATTCTTCCGGTTCACCACAGAGAAGGCATTAAGCACAGAACGTAGGGCCTGGATTGCTGGGAGAGTAACATGGGCTCAGGAAACTCTCTTCCCCAGATGCTTTACCCTCCACCTGCCCTTTCGTGCCAAATCACATACCCCGAGAGACACCCATGCTGGGCCCCATCTTGAGACGTGAATGGACTCGGATCACAGTTCCCCATACAACGTCACAGGAGAAATGGCCAGGGACAAACTGCATTGTGGCTGCTAAATACCCTCGGGGTGTACAGCTCTCATCAGCAGCATAATCTGGAAGGAGGGAGGGCATGGATTAGGAACAGAATGCCCAACTCTTGCCCTCTAGACTGCTCACTGGGAACTGGCCACTTGTCCTCACCCCCCAATTCTATTCCTATGGTGGGGAAAGATAAGTATTTTCATTAACAAGGTTGTCTGTGTACTTTGGGAGAGTGCAGGAAGATGAGCACACCCTTAGGAAGCCAGGTCATAGAACAGAAGCTTTCAGGACCATCACCAGGAGACTCAAGAAGCAGCTAACAAGAAGTGTAAAGAAAAGCAAAGCATGAGGCAATACAGAAGTCAAGGGAAAGGGGTTCTAGCCCTGTCATAACATATGTCAGTGGTCCTATAAGCCACTATCCTCATAGGGAGATGCAATAGTAGCCTCATTAAAACAAAAAGTGATGCTTATGCACACCAGCTGCAGAGTGGGGGAAAACTACATTCTGTGCTTTGGAGGACAGATATCCAAAGGGTGGTATGACAGTACTCAAGAGCCATGACCAGAGTCCAATGCCTTGTTTGATTCTTGTCAAGTTTCTAGGTGGATGAGGAATCTTCCAGTAGGTAGAAGTAGCAGTCTGGTTTCCCAGAAATACTGCTGCCAGGTGTCAGCAATGTATAGGATACTCAGGAGGATGCAGAGTTTCTGCATAGAAACTCTGGCACAGAATGATGTTGCTAAGGGTTTCAGGGAAAAAACATGGAGACAAAAATGAGGTAGGGCTGTGCCTGGGTTCTGATTGGTCTTACACCCCCAGGCTTCTGGGAGTCACCCTAAGGTGAAACTGCTTTCTTGTCCTGGCTCATTCTCAATTTGCAGAAATTTCCTTCAAAACCACAGGAGTCTACGCTTTAATATGGAGAACATCCCAGGATGTGATCAATGCACTCTCCCAGCATTGGCAGAAAGGTTTGAGAATGTTAAAAATAAGGAGTGGCCTGATTTTACTTTTAAACCAGAAGGGAGAACTGCAAAAGATGGACATATTTGGTGTTTCTCCTTGGACTTGGATGGGAGGTAATCAGGAGTAAGAGAAGGGAGCAGAAGTGCTGAGATTTCAGTTACTACCTCCAGGAGATTGACATGTTTCCTTATCATGACCAGGAATCCCAGGAATCTGAAAGAAGCCCTGTGCCTGACTGTCTGGAGGAACAGTCAATCGAAGTCTAATCCTGCTCAGTCTCCTCTCCTCTGGTCTTCTCTCACCTGGGAAGTGGCAGGCTTGTTCTCACTCCCTCAGATGCCTTGTACCTGTCTATTCCCATGCTAGGGAAAGATGAAGATTTTGGGTAACAAGAAAGGCCAGTGGAGGGATGCCCTTAGGAAGCCAGATCATAGTCTGCAGATAATCATCTCTTCTCTCTTATATTCTTCAACCTCTTCCCTCCTTATGACCTCTTTCCCTATGGAACATAGAGAAGTTCTTCCCTTGCCCCTATCTTCCCTCAGTTAGTCTATTTTCTCTCCCAACCTACTTGAAAGAGCAGTTATTTCTCCACCTGTCTCTCTTCACTTTTCCATTTCAACTGGTTTCTATTCCATCTTTCCGCTGAAACTGCATTCATGAGTCACTGATGATCTAGAAGCAGCCAGATCTAAGAATCCTTTCCTAGCCTACTCTTGCTTCTCACCCAAGGACTGAATAAAAGAATCGGCAGCAGCACTGACTTGTGAGGAAAGCTACAAGTTGGGATCATACCATCACTGGGCAGCAGTGCTCGCTGACGGGAGTGGAAGGGGGTCTCGCTGCGCCACAGATCTTCCTCACTCTCAGCCACCAGAAGGGAGTTACACACGTGACTGTCATGAAGGTCCTGAAGAAGCAGTCGCTGACAAAAGAAGCAAGGGGTTAGAAAACTGAAATACCTTCTCATAAGTGGGTGGTAGACAGGGGTGATTAAAGGCCAGAGAAAATGCCCACTATTAATGCGGGTCCAAGGTAAAAAACAACATTAGTAATCACTGATCAAAAAGGACATCAGAAGCCCAGCCTGGGCTACACAGTGAGTTCCAGGCCAACCTGGGCTACATAACAAGACTCTATCTCAAAAACAAAACAATGACAAAAAGCACCCCACCACCAACAAAAATGGACATAGGCAATCAGAACATTAGTAATCAGAGATGGTCTCCCACCATAACAAAGCTGAGGGCTCTCTGCTGGAAAAGTAGAATCAAGTCTCAAATAATGCCTTTTTAATTGTATCCTCTAGTATTATAGATGTAGGACAGTACTGTATAGTACCTCTGTGAATGTAAAGTATCTTGCACCTGCTTTATGATACGTAGTAGTGACTGTGCTTTATCAGAGCTGTTTTTAATGATGTTACTCTAGAATGTTTTCTTTCTAAATGATGATTGAGAAGCTAATAAAAAAAATGGTGCCAGGTACCACAACAGTAACAGAAAATTGCTGTTTTCTGGGGTTTTGTTTTTTTTACTTTTTCACTTTTTTTGTTGTTGTTTTGGTTTTTTTGTTGTTTTAATGGAGTGTGCTAGATGTCTCTATAATTTTGTTCAGATGACTGCAGAACCTGGAAAAGCTGTTGCTGCTATTGATGCATAACATACTGCTATTATTGGTCTTTTTATATAATATATATATATATATATATATATATACATATATATATAATTTGAATTTTTGGAAACTTTAGCTGTGCTGTCAACTTTGGAAAAAAGTATCCCAGTTTACTGTGTTGAGTTGGCATTGTACAGAAATTAATAGCCATATTGGTCTAGAAACGTTAAACTTAATTTTTTTTTCCATTTGTACAGGGGTAACGCACTGTATTAAATATGTAAGGTCTTATCTACGTGGGTTTGATTACAGAAACTAATAAAGTATTCTCTAAATAAAAAAAAAAAAAAACAAAGCTGAGGGCTCTGAAAGCAAAGCCAGTGAGGTGTACTTGTCCCTATTCTTTGCCAGAATCTGGTCATCATTCTTCAATTCCCAACCTAAAAAATCACTTCTTCCAAGAAACCTTCCTCGATACTTTGGACGATCAACTACGTGTTATGTGTTTTCATAGCAGTCTCTGCTTTTCCTCTGAGACTTCTTCACAGTTGTCACTGAAATAATTCCTGTACTTTAGTTGTTCAATGTCTATCTCCCCTGCTTTACATAAGCTCTACAGAATCAGGGTTTTCCTGTCTGGTTCACAGTAAATCTCTAATGTTAGTTTGGTGCAAGGACAGGGACTATTTCGGAGTCATTGGCAGGGAATGAGAGGGTAACCCCCTATTACTGGGGGTAGGTTGGAGAGTTCCCAGTTTATAGGTAGTAACTGGGGTAATCAAAGAAAACAGCCCATGGTTATTTTTGAGTTTGACATGGACCGCAGCATTTAAAAATCAAGTTTGTAAAACTCCTTCATCTGTTCTGTATCTCAGTGCCCAGAGAGCTATGGCTCTGGCTACTCTTACCTGGTTGACCTCCCTGCAGATCTCCCCAACTCGCCTCACCAGGAGCTGCTGCAAATGACGACATTCAGTGCCGGGACCCCCATCTTCCCGAATCAGGCTCCTAGGAAGGAAGGAAGGAAGGAAGGAAGGAAGGAAGGAAGGAATGAAGGAAGGAGGGAATGAAAGAAGGAGGGAACGAAGGAAGAAAGGAAGTTCACACAGAACTACAGTGTGGAAAAAATTTAAGTGTCATGAATGGAGAAAACAGGCCATGGAGTTGGGGCCCAGAGAAATCATAAAAAAGAAGGACTGGACAAAGGGAAGTAAGCTTGATAGGACAAGGGCAAAAATGGAATTCTTAAGAGCAGTTCTAGAAGCTTCGGCTCCATGCTTGCCTTGCCAGCTCCCATGTGGCACCAATTGTGGCTTCCATCATCTATTTATTCTTAAACCTTGATCAGAATAGTCTTGTCTTTCTCCCCCACAATCCCCCAAGACCAGAGAGCATTTAAGCAGATGCCTAGCTTTGAATCCTGTCTCACCACTTACTGTAACCGTGGACAAATATTAACCCCTCTGTGCTGAGTTTCTTCATCCATACTATTAGGGTAATACTATTTAGGATTGTTATACAGATTAGAGGAGCTGATCCATACAGAATGCTAGAAGAGTGCCTGCATATTGTAAGCACTTGCTAAATATTAGCTATTATTCATTATTATCAACCTTTGAAGCTCCTCCGAAGTGTAGATATTCTTACCTTTTTTTTTGCAGTGCTGGGGCTTGAGCTCAGGGCTTACACCATGAGTCACTCCACCAGACCTTTTTTGTGATGGGTTTTTTCGAGATAGGGTCTTGTGAACTATTTGCCTGGGCTGGCTTCAAACTGTGATTCTCCTGATCTTTGCCTCCCCAGTAGGTGTGAGCCACCAGTGCCTGGCTACTTTTTGGGTGGGGGGTGGGGCGCAGTACTAGGACTTGCACAAGTCAGGGCCTTGTGCTTGCAAGTACTCTACCATTTGGGCCACACTCCCAGCCCTTTCGGCTTTAGGTTTGTGGTTTTTTTTTGCAGTACTGGGGTTTGAACTCAGGGCCTCACACTTGCTAGGCAGGTGCTCTAGCCACTTTAGCCACTCCACCAGCAATGCTTTAGTTACTTTTTTGAACAGGGTCTCAAATTTTTGCTTTGGGTGTCCTGGACCACTATCCTCCTATTTATATCTCCTGTATAGCTGGTATTTAAAGGCATGAGCAATGGTGCCCAGTCCCAAGTGTTACTTTTAATAAGACTAGAGAGAGGTATTGCAAACAGGGGACGGAGGTTAAATCACTGGCAGGATGCAGGCCCTGGCTTCTACCTACCGTGCATGTGCATAAACTTCCACACGATCCTGTAGTACCCGGACAATGAGCCAGAAGTCAGGCAGGCAAGGCCCAGGGAGGCTTGAGGGAGGCTGTGGAGGTGCCGGCCCAGATGGAGTCCGCAATGTGAAGGGGGCCTTCTCACCAAGGGTCTCATCAGGACCCTCGCTATCTGAGCCACTGCTACCACCATCGTAACCTGTTGTCAAATGTGCTGAAGTTTAACCCCATCCTTACCTGAGCCTGACTCACCTGAGCCTCCAAGTGTATCAGGCTTGATATGGTCTTCAAATGAGTCCCTTCTGATGTCTTTGCCCAGAACTTTCCCTGGGCAGCCCTAAGCCCACTTGCCCAGCTTACCTAGATGGTCTGAATCCACACTGCCTTGACTAGACATGAGACTTACTCCCCGGCTGGGCCCAGGCTGACTCCCTGGATAGAGAAAGGGAATGCCTAGAGCTTTTGTGTATCCTTCCTATGGTCACCCTCCAGAAATAAAAGCTGGGCCAGATAGCTATAAGTCCCCCAGACTTTGCTGCCCAAGTCCTCTTACCTCCCTGTGGCAGGCTGGGCAGGCTGATGATAGGGATGTCCTCAGAATCCTCTGGGGAGCCAGGGTCTTGGGGGCTAGTTGTTAAGGCCTGAGGAGAAGAAATCATGACTGAGGTTATAGCCCCACATACCTAATGCCACCCCTACTTTGTCCTCAGGTCAGATTTACCTCCCCTTCGATGTCTTTGGCATGGTCCTCATGTCTGTGCCATGCCCAGGTTGCTGAAGGGGGCTCCCCCTGGGGCCCACTTGGCTGTTGGCCAGCTGCCACAAAGAAGAAGCCACTTTCAGGGTCCTCAAGGAGAACATGATCAGGGAGGTGGAGGCGGCGGAACTCCTAGAGAGTGGGAACCAAGGTCATAGTTTAGCCAAGAGCAGCCTTCCTGATACACACGCCTTACACTTCCTCATTAGATATTCCCAACTATGTGGTGAAGCAGATGCCAACATCCCCACTGATGAGGTAAGAAAAGGTTCAGTGACTTTGTCAAGGTTCAACAGGCTCAGTGACAAGGCTGGAACTGGGTTTCTTTCCACTGAATTGGGGTGTCAGGCATTGGGGCGAGGAGCAGACAATTTGGTAAGAAAGTCGATAGGAAGGACAATTCTATGGACTCAAACTAAGAGAGGACTTTCCAGTCCAATGCGTGGGGTGCAGGAAAGAATGGGCCCCAAGGGGACCAAGGAGTGTTCTGAGGGCAACTTACCTCCTTGAATTGTGTGAGTGAGCGCTCTGGCCCAAACACAAAATTCAATGGAAGAGTTTGGCGAAGGCAGGTAGAGCGTTCAGGAGAGCTATGGATGTGGGCAGCTGCTCGCTGCAAGGCAGGGCTCTGGGGGATTCCCCCTCTTCGAAGTGCCCCCACCATCTCATCTTCTAATAACCAGCGTATCTGTAGTCAGAAAGCAACCCTTTGTTTACTGGAGCTTCACCTCAATCCCAAAAGATACTCTGCCTTCTAGACTTAGAGAGGCCTTGCTTCAATTTCAGAATAAAGTGATACCTTATCTTACTCACATGACAGAAGGGGTACCAGTTATAGCACCAAGGAACTGTCATTTACACTGGGGGAGAGAAGGCCCTCACCTCATTCATGGTAGTCTCAATAGCCAATTTGTGGGGTGTGGCCAAATTAGACAGTCCTGGATGCCTAAATGGAAGAAAGGTTTAGACACTGATTTCCAGAAAATGAAACTGAATGGAATGAGGAACTCTGAGAGGAAGATAAAGACATACCTTTCTTCTTCTGGGGGTGGCAGTGGGGGCCCCAGGCCATCATCCGACCTTAAAGATGATGGTTGCCCTGGGGACCGTGGGAATGAAGCACTGCTTTCAGATGTTGACCTAAACAGAATTGGAACAAAAGTTAAAGGTCAGGAGCTGCTATCCTCCCTTGGCCTCCTCAAGGTTTCCTTAGTTCCTAGGTCCCCTTAGATTCCTTTAGTGGTCTCCCTATTCCCATAAGGGCCCCCCCACTCCCTCCCCCCCACCCCCGCAAGCTTGCTGCCAACCGGTGGTGCTGAGGGTCTGAGGCTGGGGGGAGCTCCACCTCCAGAGGCAAGGTCAGCACAAAGACGTCCAGAGTAATACTGAGGTCTCTCAGTGGAACTCGGCCTCCAATAGGGGGTCCCTCCAGACTAGAAAGAACCTGGCCTGGGAGGAGGGGGGAAAAGATGGTTTGTTAGGGGCCCTGGGAAAAGCATAGGTTCTAAGTTCTAAGCAATAAGGAGTTATACTCTCAGGCTCTCTTCTACTACCCAGGTAGGCAAGCTGTATTGTAACCTCTGGCCTTCCCTTGGGCTCTCCCAAACTCACCCAGGCAGGTGGGCAGACTGCACACAGGTACTGAGCTGTGCTGCCCACGCAGCCGCACAGAACATGTGAGATGTAGGAAGAGGGGTGGCAGGTCATGCATGAGGCTCTCAGGCCCAGTGGGTGAGTCGCCCCCTAAGATACTGAAGGAGTCTTCATCAGGATTGACAGTGTCTGCATCTGACAGTGAGGTGGAGTCTAGCCCAGCAGGACCCAGGTCTGGTTCACGGCTCTCACAGTATTCCACTTCCAGTTCTGGGTCACTCTCAGTGACCACACAGCAGGCAGATGTGTCTCCTAGTGGTACATGGCACATGGTCAACAGGTAAGGATGACAGTGGAGGCCCCTGGGGCTTTGCTTAAAGCAGCCTCCCATCTCGACCCACTTGCCCACATACCTTCTTCTCCTATGAGCTCAGCCTCTGAAAACTCTAGGTCACTGACTTTTCTGTCTACTGTGTCTCGGGGTCCCTCATCCTGGGTAAAAAAGGAGACTGTTGATCCAAGCAGGACAAGAGTCACATTCAGGTCTCAGGGAACCAAGATTCAAGAAGATCCACACAGGACAAATGGTAGGGTTGTGCACTGGAGGCAGAAGGGAGGGAAGAAAGAAATCCACTCACCTCTCGCCTACTGGATGGAGGGCAATAGAAGAAGTAGTGGGGATTGGAGGGCACTGTGCGGAAGTGGAGATGACTGATCTCCAAGAACTTCTCCTGTTGTGGGATTTAGAAGGAGGCTATGTCAGTCACCCCTTGAAGGACACTAATCCTTCACTAGAATAGGACACATGCACACCCTCAACCCAGGGAAGAATACTGCCCTCTGCACGAGCAAGATTTTACCCTTCTGCCCTCACCCAAGCTTCCCACCTGGATAAGGCCATGAAGGGCATCATGAGCCTCTCCTTTGAGCTGGCAGACATCTGTCAGAGAGATCTCCGGGCCAGGGTCTGAATTGCCAGGGACACGGGTGTTCTGAAACTCAGGCTCACTTAGATCCTCCGTCTCTATACTGAGTAGTTGGAGATGGGGAGGGAGCATACTACTGTTAAGGACCACCAAATGCTGGAGGTGCCTGATTCCCAACTGGGGAGCAGCACATGCCTGTCTCTGTCTATAGGGTATCAGCACAGCCCAATTGCCTGAGTGGTGACAGAGGCCCATCCATTTGGGCTCTAACCTCCTTATTTCTCAAGGGTGGACATTTCTGTGAACAAAATAAGGGTGAACCAAGTCTTCCGACTTGCATCACTGGGTGGAGGGTGGTATTGTTCAGTGTGAATGAAGAAGACATGTGGAAAAGCAAAGTTTGTTGAGAAGAAAATGCATTCACTTGGGAGGCATGAGAAGTGGGGGCTCCAGGGCTCAAGACGAAGCCCTTGAGCTGCAATTCTGACCTATGAGTTCTCAGGATCTCCATCACTGTAGTTCTTGTTTCTTCAATGGCAACACACTGCTGAGCTAACACAGAGCTGTCTGCCTGCTTGCCTTTTCTCCTTGCCTCCAGTCCTCCCTTCAGCAGAGACCTGTCAAGTGCTAAGGTGGGGCTCAGCAGTGAGCAAATACAAAGTTTTGAGTCTGATGATGCACACAGATTGGTTGGAGAGACTGTTAATATTCTATAGAGGGCCTCAAAACAAGTGGCAACTGGGAACTTGCTAGCTCTGACTCAGCTCATCAGAGCACACCAAAGCAGAAGATTAATGGGGAATGCCTGGAAGGGAAACTGCCGCCAGAGCCAAATGGGAGTAAGCAGACTGCTTGGGAAGCAGAAGCTTGTGACCCAGTACTGCTACTTCTTGGTGCACATTCCTGGACTGGAAGGCTTTTTTTTTTCCTTCCCCAGTACTGGGTATTGAACCCAGGATCTCACTATGCTAGGCAAGTTCTCTACCTCTTGAGCTATACTCCAAGCCCTTTTGTTTGTATTCTGTTTTTGATAGGGTCCTGCTAACTTTGCCTGGGCTCGCCTTGAACTTATGATTCTCCTGCCCCCATCTCCCAGGTAGCTGAGATTGCAGGCGTGTGCCACTACATGTGTGGCTAGGTCTTTGTTTATAGATACTTGGTCTGTGTGTCCCCTTGCCCCTGACATCATTCAAGAACAATCCTACCTGGACTCAGAAGCTAAGATAGCTCGTTCCCGAGGCTCTGGGCCCTCCTCGATGCTGCTGCTGAAGGGCCCTGGGCTGAGAGGACCAGGACTTGGGGGTGAATGAGGCAAACCCCAAGTGTGACCACACAGTGCAAGCAAAAAAGGGGTGATGTCTACTTCTTGTAGTAGCTCCTCACAGGCATCTACTGCTGTCAGCAAATCCTGGCAGGTCACATTCTGTGCTTGCTGCAAGCTCCGAAACAGCCCTAAGGGAAGTGGAACAGGCCATAAGCAGGGTTAGCTTAGGGTCTCTCAAATTGCCACTCAACATCCCTGTATCTCTGCCCTTGGAGTCCCACTCCTCCCTCACAAGGCCTTCCTACTCACCACGGACATAGCACCGCTGTGCATGCTCTTGCAACAAGGCACAGTGGGTTGCTGCCTCTTTATACCTGGGCTCCATCCAGGCTGAAGAAGCAGAGGGGTGGTCCAGGAACTGAGTCCTAGGAATGGGAGGGAAAACAGCTTAGCCAAATCCCCTAAGTGGTACCACAGACTCATCAGCCACCCACATTCCCATGGAACATCCATAGTATGTTCAGCTGCCTTGCTGAGGGAAGCCATCCAAACAGCTAGCATGACACAACTAAGAAGCTGAGTTCCTGCCACTGACCATCATGAGTGTGCACTCAAGTCTCAGTTTGGGAGGACACAGGTCAAAGTAAAGGGTACTTACCGGAAGATGAGGTCTCGAGGTGCCTGAGGGGGCTGCATGCCAACCATTTGTTCCCTCAGAGCTTCCAGGGAACAGCTATAGATATAGACAGGACAACGGGTCCGGGGCCCATCTGCACCCTCTGTCTGGGAAACCTGACGCCCAGTGTAAGCCTGAAAGTCCCTATTGAAGGGTGAGCTTGGATCTCCTTGATCCTGGGCACTGTCTGTGGAGAAAGGTGTCCATAGTCTTCACACTCACTATTTGTTTCCCATCCCACTCCTGTTTAACTGACTTCACTCAGCCGCCTTACCACCAGCTAGAGTTATACTGAGGATGGGGACTTGGGACTTTGTAGCCTTGGCCCCCGTTCCTCCCAGATCTTTTTGGTTGGGGGCCACACTCCGATCCCCAAACTTAGGCTTTGTTTCTTCTTGAAAGGGTCCCTCCAGACCATAAACAGATAGACGCTGGACATCTGCAGAGGAAGAGAGACACAGATCAGTACTTTCTGATAGGCTAGTTGGTGAACTGAGGGGTTTGTTTCTGAGGGGGTTAGTAAAGAAGGTCAGGAGTTGATACCTGAGAAGGCAGCTGGGAGAAATGTCAGAAACACATGCTGTGGGGTCACGAGCCTTGCATAGCAGCGCCACTGAGGAGGCTGGGCAGAGATGAGAGGCCTGAAAGTTTCAGGAATACTCAGACACTGTAAGAGAGAAACAAAATTAGAGCAATCTATAAGAGAATGTCCAAGCCCTGTTCCCTTCCTCCACCTGGAGCTGACTCATCTTAGGTCTAGTGTGAAAGATCTGGGACAAACGGACAAAGCCTTCTTTTTTGAGAAGGTACTTGGTATCAAGGGTGATAGAAAGTTGGGCATGGATGTGTGGTGACGGAAGGAAGTCGGTAAGACAGGGCTCAGGGAGAAGAATCAGTGCTGACCAGGGTAGGAAGGGCTGAGTCTCTAGCAGCCTGGGTGTTGTTGACTGCTTGATCCTTCAGGATCCCATGAGTCCCCATTGATGGCCCCTCTGCACCTACAATGGAGTAGAGATGGCAAAGAAGGCAGAGCCAGCACAGAGGCAGGGCTCTGAGTTGAAGAGGCACAGAGTCCAGAGCTCAAAGACAGAAACCACCTTGAGGGTGAGGAAAAGGGCTTGGATGGAGTCTGACATTAGGAACGAGGTATATAGCTCACCTGGATTATGGCAGCTCCGTCGCAGTACCTCACTCAAGAAGGCAGCCTGGTCAGCAGGGGTCAGTGGGATTTCCCGGTCACTCAGCTCCTGCCCCAGGCAGCTGTGCAGCAGGCACAGCACCATGTCGTTGGTGGGACAAGGCCCCTCGGCGAGAGGGATACCCTCTGGCTCTGCCCGACACACACTCTGCTCAGCACTGAGAGCTTCCTGCTGCTCAGAGCCCCTAGCTCTGCCCTGACCAGCAAAGCCCTTCCTCCAGCCTTAGCATCCCCTGTCTCCATCCCACACCTGCTCCTGACTGACTTATCTGTTCTTGATTCTCTAGTATACTCAGGCTTGCTGGCCCTATAGGTGAGGGTGAGTAGGTACTAAGTTTACCCACCTCTGGATAGCAGAAGGAAGAACATCTGTAGCTGCTGGCACTGTGGCAGCAATCCCAACAGGTCAAAATGGAAAGGGATCTCATGGACACAGGTGTCTCCTCCCTGGTCCAGTCCTAGAAGGCAAGGACAACAGGATACACAGTAAGACCCTGATTACCTGTCTATGGCTTTCTTCTCCCTACTCATTCTTTGCTCTATCCATAGGCCACCTTCCCCACTGACCATCTGAGACTCGTGGCTCTGGTGGCAGAGGACCCCATTCCTTGCTCTGGCACAGCTGTATCAGGTATTCGAAACTTAGCAGGGAGCCTATACAGGCAACATCCCGTGGGTGAAGCTAGAGAGAAACATCAGAAGACAAGAGTCATCCCTTCCTAGCACTGGCCTCCAGCTTTCAAGGACGCCCAAACAGTCATGGACATAGGTTGTGGTCTCCAAAGGTGATGTAACCCAGTATCTCCAGCTGTGGGGGTACAGTTCTGGGGTTACTCACAGCTTGAGGGATTTCAGAGTATGTCAAGTCCTGTAGGTGCTTCCAACTTTCAGGGCCAGGTCCTACTCGCCCATACTGTGGCTCCACCCACACCTCGGTGACCAGATTGAGTTCTGAGTCCCCCTCCAAGGCCTCCACCTCCACATCATTGTCATCATCTGTTGAGAAGCTAAAGGAGGAAGGGCTCTGAGCCTGGGGGAGAGGGAATGCAACATACAGCCATGTGGTAGGGATTGAACCTCATGGAGGATAGGAAGGAGGTAGGCAAAGAGGACAGCCACAAGTTACATAGCCTTTGCAGACCAGCATCTGCCTGATGGAGCATCTAAAAATACCAGCCCCCTCCCCTGGGTATGGGAGACAGACAGGGGACATAAGGGAGAGGAGGACTGTGCAGAGAGTTGGCTTGCAGAGAAGGCTGTCTCACCTGTCTTTGGTAGAGGTAGAGTGGGGGGGGAAGAGGATGTACTGGACAACACATGTGTGCTTCTCTTCAGTCGCTGTCTGCCTCAGTGGCTCATTCTGTGGGTAAATGGGAGATCCTGGGCAAATCCCAGCCAGTGTACAGACCTGGCCTGGCTCTGACCCTCAGAAATTTAATCCTCTAACTAGACAGTCCTATGACTGACTCTGGCCTCAGGCCTCCGTCCCTGGTCCAGTGAGGCAAAGTTTACAGCAGTCCCTCCCAGCTCAGAGGCAAGTGTCCCTGAGATTATGATGGACCTTGAGGGGAGGTATCATGAGGGATGACACACACCTGAATTGGAAGCTCCAGGACCATGTTGATGATTCCTTCGCCGCTGCAGGCAAAGTGAAACCCTTCAGAGAGTCGGACTCTGAAGCCCGTAAAGGCAAAACAGGACCAACCAGAGTAAGATAAGGGAAGAAGAGACATTCAGTATAGTGCTCCCTGACATACCTGCCTCCCAGTGGTCATCATGGCAACCTAGTCCATTGGGAGCCCTGCTCAGATTATCAGTCCCTCAGGGTACAATAGGTCCAAGTAGAACCAGAGACAAAATAAGGAGTTAGGGAACAGCAGAAGAGGAGGGCTGCTCTGTACTTGACACTGGAGCTCAGAGAAGGGAAGTGTCTGGTTTAGGCTCTCTGTCAGTGTCCAAACCCAGAGTTCACACTTGTTCTCTTCATGTCCCAGCTGACTAATGGGCTTGGGTGACCTACTCAGTGAGGACAGAGAGGAGCTGGGCGATGGCGCTGAGTGGCAGCGTGGGGGCCAGGCCTGATGGAACACTCCATAGCCAGCGCTGATGGTAGAGGTAGCGTGACAACGATGCTAGGCTAGATGAGGCTGATCGACCCGACACCAAAGGCAGTGGCCCTGGTGGTTCCAGTGTCAGCAAGAAAGGTGCCCGGTAGTCCAGAGGTAGCTTCTCATACCTGGGAAATGGGGCAACTCCCCCGTTGATTTCTACTCATACTCCTCCCTCATGTTTCTTGGGTCCCCTCCCAACCTTCTAAACCAACCTGATGAGGAGCTTGTCCAGTGGCTTATGGAGGACCACAAGGCAGGGCCGGTCAGACAGGGCCTGCTGTGGTCCCAGCATGGGGGGTGACTTGGAGGGAGAACTGCCCCCACCAACACCCCCTAGCCCTTTACGTTTCACCTTGGGTGTTGGCTCTTTACTTTGTACCCGGTGGGGGAAACGAAGGCGTAGTATCTCTTCCCTCAAGCCTGATACAATCTGTGGGGAAAATGTGGTCAGCTCCTTTCCTCAATACACACACACACTTCCATCTATCTCTTCCAGGTCTGGGAGAAGGGGCCCATAGACAGGGTGAGAAAACCCTCCCTCATGTTCTTCAAGCCTTTCTTAGTCTGAGGGTACCTCTCCCTACTAGACCTGGCCTGGTGGGGGTTGGGAAATGGAGTTTGTCTATGCCCCAGGGCTTCTCAGTCTGGGAGTCAGTCAGAGTCCAGCTCACCTTGTGCCGGGCCTGGGCTGGTGTGCCAATGGGAAAACCCAGGCGAAGAACCATGCATGGGGCCTTGGAAATGATGCGGACCAAGTAGAAGGAGGATGGGGGCTGGTCTGGGGCACTGGGGAGAAATGGGAGGAAGTGAGCCATCCTGAGCTGGGAGTATATCAGCTTAACAGAAGTAGGGGTGAGGTCTGGGGTTAGAAGAGGAGACGTGGGATGAGATGATGAGGGAAGGGTAAGAGACATCACTTTGCCCACCTGGAGAGCAGCTTGACATAAGAATAGCCCTCAACAAGCACAAAGCTGCTCCAGTCCCGAAGCAGAGAGGTGAGCGAAGAATGAGAGATCCTGCACTGAATAGTGCTGTAACGTCCATTGCTGCCCGGGGTATGCAAGTGCTTGGGGACTGGGCTAGGAAGAGGAATGTGGAATGAAATCAGACCTCCTAGCCTTATTTTTGGGGAAGGGAAAGATTGCTACCTCTTTCTTTTAGGCTTGCCTAAGGTAATGGGAGCTGATGAGAAGGAAGACTTGGCCACAGTTGCTCTTTGCACCAATCCCTATCCTCTGATCCCACCTATTAATTCACCGAATCAGTGGAGCTACACTAGCGCTACTAACCATTAACCCAACCACAGCTTTCGTAACATTTATTATTCTAGTCCTCCTCACAATTCTCGAATTCGCGGTAGCCCTAATCCAAGCTTACGTATTTACACTCCTAGTTAGCCTATATCTTCATGACAACACATAATGATGACCCACCAAGTTCACGCTTACCACATAGTCAACCCAAGTCCATGGCCACTAACAGGAGCATTGTCTGCCCTCCTAATAACATCAGGCTTAGCAATATGATTCCACTTTAACTCTACATTTCTCTTAATACTAGGACTACACACCAACTCACTAACCATATACCAATGGTGACGGGACGTAGTACGAGAAGGCACATTCCAAGGTCACCACACCCCAGTTGTTCAAAAAGGACTGTGGTATGGAATAGTACTATTTATCGTTTCAGAAGTATTCTTCTTCGCTGGATTTTTCTGAGCCTTTTACCACTCAAGCCTTGCCCAACCCAGAACTAGGAGGCTGCTGACCCACCGGCATTAACCCACTAGACCCCTTAGATGTCCCTCTTCTCAACACATCAGTTCTTCTCGCATCAGGCATATCCATTATCTGAGCTCACCACAGTCTAATGGAAGGAAACCGAAAAAATATAATCCAAGCACTATCAATCACTATCCTACTAGGCATCTACTTTACCCTCCTACAAGCCTCAGAATATTCTGAAACCTCATTCACAATCTCCGATGGCATCTATGGTTCAACTTTCTTCATAGCAACAGGATTTCACGGCCTACATGTAATTATCGGCTCCACATTCCTACTAGTATGCCTAACTCGACAACTAAAATTCCATTTTACATCAAAACATCATTTTGGCTCCCATCCTTCCTGACCCTGAGAGTACACACGTGTCATGCTCCAGGATCAGCACCAGGCGGTGCATGTGCAGCCACCGTTGCCATGAATTAGCATCCATAGACAGCACTGGCTTCCAGTAGGCAGCAAACTGGGCATGGGATGAGTCAGAACCACTGTGTTGAAGGGAGAGCACCTGGGGACAGAAAGAGAAGCTCTATAGAAGCATTTGTGAAGAACCAGGATACAACCTCCAAACAGCAAACACAACCATAGCAGACTCAGTTCAGGCGTTAGAGACAGCATTGGATTAGAGCTAAGAGCCACAGCCCATCCTGGAACAGTAATCCAATACGGATTACTAGATTAGGATAATCAGCCTTTTAAAGCTGATCTAGCAAAAGAATGGAACCTTCCCAGCTTATATCACTGACTTTGAGGAAGGCTGCTGAGTGATGGCAGGACTTGACAATGAGGCCACTGCACATTAATGTGGGCCACACCAGTGCTAGGCTGTTAGCTGAAGACCAAATGTAAAGAGAGCACAGGACAAAGGAAGTTATGGTCTTTAGGAAAAGCCCAGTTCATGGTGGCTAGCAACAGGTGATGGTGGTTGGTGGAGGCCCAAGTATGTCACATGACAATGAGGCGAGGGGGCCAACAGACTGATGGGATACCACTACCTAGACATCCTGCAAGATGTCAGATACTGTTGTCTATTAATGGAAGGCTTCTTTTAGATCTTCCCTTCCTCAGGGCCTCAGAAGGGGGAGGAGAGATGCTTTCAAGGATGAAGCTAAGGCTTCCGGTTTGGGTACCTCATGCTTGAGCGAGAAGGCTCCAGATGCTGTGCCCATCCCAATCTGGCAAGGTAAGAAAGGGGCTATTGAGCATCAGAGCCACTCACCGGGGTGGTGGAGCCAGGAGGGATGTAGAAGAGTGGCACTCCACTCTTAGTGCTGTCAGGAAGCGTGAAATGCTCTGGCACTGAGGAGAAGGACTGAAGGTGGGCTAACATCTGGTCCGTCTGGTTAATGCTATAGAACAAGGGAAAAGCCTGAGCCACAGCTGAATCTGCTGGGTGAGGAAGTGGAACCGTGGATACAGCATGGTACACTGGGTGATTGATTGCTCCCTATCCCCCACTTCCATCTTCACAAATCTGTCCCTCCACAAACAAATGGAGCTTCACCCACCAAGTAGGGACCTCACCTTTGCAGTGTGTTCCAGAAACGGCGGATAACGTGGGTACGATACAACGAGCGAATGGGTTGCCTTAGCGCACAGGACACATCATGCAAAATGTCATAGCCGCCTTCCATTGTTACTTCCACCCGCGTTCCTCGAGGGCCCTCAGGCTCCAGGGGCCAGGGTGCCACAGCCACATACTCAATGCGCATATTGTGTTTCCATAGCAGCACCAGCTTCACCTCCAGTTGGGACCCTCCTTCAGAAGAAGCAGGAGGGCCAGTTAGGGGAAGAAGGCATATGAGTACAGGCCTGTGACTTGAGTTCCTATCCAAAACCTCACCTACCTCATGGAACTCTAGCCTGGCCAAAGGTTCCAAGCATGGTTCCAAAGGATTCAGAACCAGAGCCTGCGAACTGATGCAAACAGAAGTTTGCAGGAGTAATCTGAAAACAAAGCCAAGTTCAGGACACCATACCCACTTCAGCTGTTTCACCTTGGACAAAAAGAGATGAAACTGGAAATCCACATGCTAGGAGAACTAAGTCCTGGAGACAACTCAAAATACACTTGTCTCAAACGATAAACAGAGATTCTCATGGAGACACTTTTTGAAGTGTGTGACACACGGATGTCTGTTTTGTTCAGCAGATCTGCCCACACACAAGTTCTCAGAGACTTGTAAACTTGTAGTAGGGTCTAGTGACCCTTACCTTTTGCCAGTGTAACCTCTCGGACACTGTAGCCCTCTCGAAGGCGTACAGACACAGTGCTGACCAAATCAGCTGGAACCTCCTTCTCAGTGTGCTTCTTTCGACGCAAGGCCAAGGCAGGGTTGCTGCTTGCAGAGACCAGGTGCTCATTAAACAGACGGTGCTGAGAGCCTGGAGAATCAGTGAGGATAGAGAAGGGGAAGATGGCAAATGGTCAGAGGACAGATATATAGGGGAAGGGGTTAGGCTGAAACTACAGTAAACAGTGTCAGATCAGCCAGCCCCAGTTAGACTTCCAGTTCTTCCAAAGCCTAGACCACATCATCTCTGGGCCCATTCTGTATTCCTCCTTCCCACAACCACCCAGCCTGCCTCTCACCACAGTAATATTCAGGGTTCAGTGCTTCTCCACTGCGCAGGAAGGAATAGAGCAGAAAAGCTCGGTGGTAGACAGTCAGACCCAGATTGCCTGGCTCAGGCTCAGGACAAGTGGACAGATAGGAGCCAAATGTTGCCATTGCGATGAACTTCATCAATTCCACATTGGGCACATGGCCAAAACTGCAGTCATAAGAGTAAACTCCTCCCACCTGGAGAAAATGAACAAATTGGAGGCCCTACTCCATCAGAAGCACTTTCATTCCCTGGACCACCCAGGGAAGTGGGCCACCAATCTTCTAGGACAGACTACTGCTCTGCACATATCCTTCTGAACCCTCTAAGGCCCATGTTAGCTGGTCACATCATTTTCTGCCTTTCTTTCTCAATATCAAATACTCTCCTCTCTTTTCAATACAGATTTTGGCAACTGATTCATTAGCTTCCTGTTATCATCTTGAAAGATTTCAGTGTGTCACTAACAAAGTGGTTCTTAGACTTTAGGGTGCATACAAAAAAAATCCAGGATGTCTAAGGTGGGGTCTGAGAGTCTGCATTGCAAACAAGCTTTCTGGTGAGGCCATTGTCAAGGCTCAAAATCAGAAACTGGCAAACTACTTATAAAATGTAGGCCAAATGTAGCCCATTACCAATTTTTGTCAATAAAGTTTTACTGGAATACAGCCACGCTCATTCACTTTGTATTGTCTGCAGCTACTTTCACACTACCACAGCAAAGCTGAATACCTATGACAGAATGAATGGCTCACAAAGCTTAAATATTTACCAGCAGGCCTCTGCAGCAAATGTTTGCAGACCTGATCTAGATGACTCATTCAATTCTCTGGCCATGCAGTTCTTTAACCCTCATCTCTCTTCCACTTACCTGGGCTGGCTACACTGGCCCATAGCTTCACTTGGAACAAATTCATCTTTGCAATTCTAAATTGCCACATCCCACAACATAGCATTATCCCTTTAGCTTCCTCTTCCCACCCTCTTCCTGCTGCTCTTATCCAAGTCCATCCGTATCATCCTGACCCTCCTTTCTCAACCCAGCCTGAACCCTACATTCAAACAACTTTATGAGCATCATTTTCAAATCCTTGGCCCGCTTCATTTTTTGTCTGCTCCTACTTCAAAATCCCAATGAAGATCAAAACCTCTATACTCACCAAGTCAATGGTGCCCTAAAAAAGAAAACTGCCTTTGTATAGGCTTGTACCACATCAAATCATTACATTCCTATCCAGCTACTTCTTCAGGGCTGAATACAAGACTGCTCCTTCTTCCCAATGCTGGCATCCCTTCCTCACTACTCATCAATACCCTTTTCTTTCAAGAGGTATCAGAAGCCCTTGGAAGAATTTACCCACATATTCACTTCTAACTTCTAATCTCAAAGAATGAAAGTGACACTTGTCTGCTCTGAAAGAATATTCAATCTGTTTCTAGAACCAATGCCTTCCACTCAATTTAGGGACTTTTTCAGGATCCCTTCTTTTATTTTCAAATTCTTCTTCACTATGGCCCCTTAGAACCATGCTTAACTCTGCAGCTTAAAAATCCAAACCAAACTAAACAGAACACCCCTCCTTCCACCATGTACTTCCCTCTGGCTACCATTCTCTCTTGTTCTGAACAGCTAAATTTCTTATGTCAACACTTGTCGCTACATCCTTTTCTTCTATCTACAGCAATCATTGAAATGGCTCTGAAAAATTTCCCATGATCTCCTAATGAAGATACAAAGGGGCACTTTTCATTCCGAATGCCACTTGATCTTTCTGCTGCATCTCACAATGTTAGTACTCCTTTCTTTCAAAACTTCTGACTTTTCTGACATCAGAATCTCCAGGTTCTTCTCAGATTAGTTTTCTTCATTCCTTGCTGGGTTCTCTTCTTGTGAGAGACCTTTTAACACTGGTGTTCCCCAAGACTCTTCTAGGACTTTCCTCACTTCTCAATTACCACCGGTAGACTGACAACTCTTAAATCTTTACCTCTCAACTACTGCTGTTTCCTGGATCATGACGTGCATATCCAGCTGCTAACTGCTATGAGTTGTAGCTATTTATTAGGTAATTATTCACTATGCTATGTATTCTAAATACATCAACTCACCAAATAAAGTACTTCACAATTTCTATTTAAAATGAATCCAACCTTCAGCTGAAGTGATGTGCCCAATGTCACAGAAGTAGCAAATAGAGCTAAGGATTCAGACGAGGCAGGCCTAACTACAAAGGCAATATTCTTATTTGCTAAGATATGTCAAACCATAGTCACCTCAAATACAACATGCACAAACCTTGTCCTTGCCCTCACTCCACCTCAACCGTTTCTCTTTGTATTTGCTTTGCCTGCCACTCAGTCATCACTGAAGTCAGAAACTTGGAGGCAACCTTAGTTCCTCTTTTTCCCTCACCTATGCCCTCTATTTTGCTAATCATGTCCTATTTGTTTGAAAAAAGGTCTCATCTTGAGGCTAGCCCAGCCTCAAACTTGTGATACTTTCTGTCTCAGCCTCCCAAGTTCTGGGATTATAGGCATGCACTACCAAATCCAGTTTCATAAGCCATACTGACACTATCTCCTCATTTTCTCAATCCTCTTACCCCAAATGCCACATATTTAAGCCCTGATCTTTTACCTGGACCACTGTAATTAATACCCTCCCTGCCTCTACTCTGCTCTTTACCCAGCAGCAAAAGTGACCTTTATAAAACATAAACCCATACATTTGTATTATCCACAGAATTTTGCTTAAACTTAATACAGCAGAACCAGCTTTTCATGCTCTGGCTAAGCCTACCCCTCCAGCCTTTCCCTCCTGCCCTATAGTCTGTCAATCCAAATTAGCTGCAGTTCCCTGTCTATACCTTCCCTCCTCACTGTGCTTAAGCTAGTTTGAATTGGGCTTTCTGACCCTTGCAACCAAAGCAATAATAACTAATCTAATGGAGCATGTGGGACTGGAACTGACTCAGATTTCAAATTTTCTCTTCTTTTTACTGTAACATGCTGTCTCCAATCATAAGGAAAGGGGACAAAGATGAGAATCCTCTCCCACCACTGCCACCTACCCTACTCTAGACCTGGCAACTTCTCCCCAGTTAACAATATCATCAGTTTCATTTGGGAAATCTTGCCAACAAGAAAGTAACCAACCATGCTTGACTTTGTGAGATACCCCACTTTCCTTTACTCCTTTCTAGAAAGTCCTCACCTGCACAAAGGAACAAGCCACAGTGCCACTGCGAAGCTGGTTCAGTAGTGTCTCACAGACAGCAACATCAGGGACACTGGTCACCCCATCTGTAATTACGATGATACCTGGAGCAGGAAATAAGACTCAGACCTGAAGACACTGGCCAGACCAAAGTCATAGAAAGGTACTCAACTGACAGGGCTCCGAAGTCCTGCCCACTGAACATTTTATAAACTTCAAACACCTTTCCTTCTCCTCCCTCTTGATGACAGACCAGTCTCTCCTAGGTGATGTCCTTGGAGCTCCAGCTTACACCAGCGTCCCTGATGGTTGTCAGAGCTAAGGGTACCAGACTTGTCTCTTGCAAACAAGAAAACAGATCCTCTTCCCTGGGGCTCCCTGATCCTGGGAAACCTCTAGTTTTGGCAATAACCCCCACCCTTCCTGAATCCACTTCCCCATTCCCACCAATATTCTTTCTACTGACCTGCACTAGAGTTTGAGGGCAGTAACTGCAGTGCCAAGATGCCCTGACGAATCATACTGACCAGTCCAAGATCAGCTGTCACCATAGAGACTCCTACCTTCCGGCCCAAGGGCTCCCCTGAGTCTGGGGACTGGTCTTCTGCCTGGTCCCAAATTACAGAAAAGACAGAATGGGACTGATGTCATTGCTGCCCCAACTATAGCAAAAGCAAAATTTCTTTCTTCTTTTTTCCAGTACTTGAGATTGAACCCAGGACTTCACACATGAGGCATGCAGAGCTACACCTCTAGCCCACAAACCAGAATTTATGGTACATCCCAGGACAGGAAAGCCTAATCCTGTGAGGACTCCAAGTCCCCTATACTGCCCCAGATCAATCCTGGTGTGCCCCCTCCCCTGGTGTGTGCTCAGATGCAAAGGGAGTCCAACATTAGACAAAGCATCAGATTGTAATGAGACAAGATTTCTGCACCTTTTGTCATGTACTTCTTTCCAAATTTTCCCATCACTATTATAAAGTATTTTAAAATCAGCCAAATTATAAACCAGTCATCAGGTGTACAGATGACCATTTGCCTAGCCACTTCTGAGGTATCCAAATTAATTGACTGTATAAAATGCTAACTAGAAATACTAACTAGAGCCCAAAGCCACCCATGATCATCTTTTCAGATGATCATGGAGAAGGGGGGTGTTGAGACCCAGGACTGAAAAAACACAGGCAAATGGCCTTCATATTTTCTCCCAGTAATTATCTGTGTCTTGGGAGAGCATATCTGAGTCATTATCTTCCACCAGGGAGCCTGTCATGATTTTTCACTAGCATGTCTATCTTTGACTTGCTCTGTCCCTGGCTTAGTCCTTTTCCGCTCTCTTTCCCTTCTCTAGTTGACATATTTCTCCTCTTTGCCCTCTGTTCTTAGCTGCTCCCTAAGTGGCCTCTGCCCTCTTTCTCTTCCATATACCTGGTTCTGGGGATTGTACTGCTGCTGCAGCATGGTAGCCACCTTATCTTCAAAGAGGCAGAGCTGCTCATATACCTGCTGAAGAAATGCCTCCCGTTGGGAAGGATCCAAAAGGCAGCCTTGCACCAGAACCTGAAAAGCACAAGGGAAAGGATGAAGCAGAATGGGGTAGGGGCACTGAACACTACAATTCTCCACTATTTTTTTCCCCATAGCTCCCTCTAGGTGATCCTGACTTCTCTCACCCAACTGGGATCTAAGGTACAACTCCACAGAAAGTTCTTCCTTCTCCTCATATTATCTATTCCAGCAATCCTCAGACCAAGTATACTGCAATCCCACTCAAAGCCCCAAGCCATTAGTCACCTTCATCTGGAGTCACAGCTTTCCTCAGTCTACAGTCCTCCACCCTGGGATTCTACAACCTTCCTTATGGGGGCGACACAAGATCTTCTGGTTTTTTCCATGTCAGATTACAGGATGCCATCCGTAAACTACCCCAAAGTCTTTTTTCATTCTGACTCCTGTTCTTTTATTCCTTTTGATTTCTAAGTATACTGCACATAGAGACCACCCTGGACCTCTTCTTTTAAGCTCAAAATCGTCTTCCTGGGTTGGGGGCATGGCTTAAGTGACAGAGCACCTGCCTAGGAAGTGCCAGGTGCTGAGTTCAAACCCCAGTACCCTCCACCCCCAAATCCTCTTCTTATTCCCCAAGGAAAGCTCCTTCTGTCCCTTTACCCTCAGTAGGTAACTCCCATCCCATCTTCTGAGAGAAAGGAAGTCAGCCAGTAGGAACCCCAACCCAGAGGATATACTACTCTCTAGCCCTCTGAAAATCAGAGGTCTGCTACATGTTTACATCTATCTGCATTCTTGTCCTTTCCTGAGACTCTGAAGAAAGGATTCCTCTTCCTACTCTTTTTCCCTAGAGCCAATCTCTCCATCTCATCTTGAACCCTTTGTCTTTCAATCTGTCTCTATGGGCTCTTTTCCTTCTGTTTCAAATATGAGTAAATACCCTTGCAAATGGGCCTGGCAGCCCCTGTGGTGGCCCTCAGGATCTTGCCCCTTTCCACCATCACATGTCCCATATGCCCACTTCTCATTGATCCCTATCCTCCTGCACAGAAACTACTTCTACACTCCCTAGTCCCATCTGGGTAAGGGGGTAGGGACAGCCAGAGAGGGAAAATAAAGCACTGTCCCACTGTATATAGGTCTGTGAGATGACAAACAGAAACAGAAATGTCAGGAACTAGAACTACAGAAAGGTGAAAAAAATGTTCATATTCATGTTATTTAGAGGAGTGAAATGTGAGACAACCCAACTGGCCAACAATAAAGGGACTGGCTATATACATCAAGATAAAATAGGATAAGACAGGAAGTTGTCATTAAAAATCATGTTTGCAAAGAATATTTCGTGACATGAAACAATGCCTGTATTATAAAAAAGCAGGAAATAAAGATATGTGTCTGAAATGTGCCTGATTGTGCTCCTCCTCTTTTTGGATAAAGGGATGTGGTGAGGGAGGATCAACACACATTCACTAGAACAGGGGGAAATTCCATAAAACGTTTTTCAGAGTATTATATTAGGGGCGAGTTTGTTTATCCTTCAATGGATATATATTATAAATGCGATTTAATTATTTTTTCATTTAGAGCAGCAGGATACAGCTTGCAGAAACTACAGAGAAAACATGGAGGCTAGCTCAGGGCTGACAAATGGCCCTGAGGTCTTAAGGAAATCTTCTCCCTCCCTACAGCTGCTGTCCTTGTTCAGGCCACATATTGCAATAATCTTCTGTTTGTTTTCACCACATTAAGACTTTGTCTCCCAATCCATCTTCCACACTGGCCATGAACAAGTGTGATCTTCCATACATACAAATATGATCCCGTTACTGTCCCTTCAAAACTTTCAGTGGTTCTCTACTACCTTAGGCTAATTGTTTTAATAGCTTAACAACTCCATGTTTTCTATGTTGCAGACACTGTTCTAAGTGCTTAATTTAAATTGAATCACTCTGCAATACAGGTCTATTAATAACCTCATTTTGAGAAAAGACATGGGATCTACAGAGAGGCTACGTAACTTGCTTAGGGGCACATAGCCGGAAAGTGGTGCAAACACAGAGGATGACCCAGTGCTCTTAACCACATTAAACTCCCCTATACAATAAAGGACAAAGTCTTTAGTATGACATTCACAACCTTTGATAATTGGCTCCCCATTTATGTCTCCAGTCTTCTTTTTACTACTATTTCTCACATTCAAACTTCACTCTGTCAAAACCAAGTAAACACCTGTGATTGAGAGTGTACTTTCATGGCTCTATGCAGCTCTGTGCCTTTGCATTTGCTGGTCCCTCTCCCTGAAAAGCTCATTTCCCTTTCTTTGAACAACTAACCTCAATTCTTTCTTCAACACTCAGTTCAAATGTAGCTTCATCTAAAAGACTTATCTGTTGCTGTCTCAGGTTTGGATGCTCCCTCTTGGTACTCCCATAGCACTTGAGTCATAACTTGCCAGTGCCCTTATAACATTCAACTGAAATTATTTCCTTTTAGTATCTGTCTTCCCTTCTCCAACTCCTACCATCAAGACAAGGGCAGTGTCTGCTTCATCTGTGCTTCCAGCACCTAGCCTGGGCCTGGTATAGATCAGGCTTCAGTAAGTGTTTGCCAAGCAGAACCAAGTTTTGAATAATTACCTAACATCCATACTATCTCTGCCTTGGCTATCAACACCTGCAAAGCCTGGCCTCTGTCTGGGGATGTGGCCCATAGTCACCAGGCTAACGGCTATACTAGTAGAGCACTTTAAACTTGGACAGAGGGCTAGCAGTCCCTGCCCTAGGACTAGGCATGCACCAAATGTGGTAGTGCATATTTCAGACCCTCAGGTGCTATTTTTGGCATCTGTCTCTCAAACAAAGCTTGATGACAGTATAGACATCAGAGAAAGTTTCCAATGAGTTGAGGGTGGTTAGAACAGATGAGGGGAAACTGGGCCAATGCTTATCTAAGCCAAAAACAGAAATTCCAGTAACAGACTTGGCCATTTTCCAAAAGGAGTGCCTTGTGATCGCCTGCTTAGGTGACAGATAAGCCCTGTAATTATCTGTGTGGTCACCATTATGACAGTTCATCAGGCCCTCAGAAAATGACCCTCTCTGTCCTTAAAATAAATCATATTTCTGGGAATCTATTAGAGCTCAAAATCACAAAAGATTATCTCATGGGGTCAGTACACCAGAAACCATCTGATAGAACTAAGGGAGCTGGGGAGGAAACAAAGAAAATAGACATCCAAGGGCAAGACCCAAAGAGATTTGTAGGAGGGGTGACAATTTCTAATCAATGTCAATGAACCTAAAGGCCATGCGAAGGGTCTTTAAGACCAGAGGAACTTTTTTTTTTTTAATTCTTCAAAGAGACAGTGATTCTTGGGAATGACTAAGAAGCAGGTTCAAGAAACTACAGCTGGGTGTCAGAGGCTCACACCAGTAATCCTAGCTACTTGGGAGGCTAAGATTGTAAGGATTGTGCTTCAATCCAGGCCAGGAGGAGCAAATACTTCATGAGAACCCATTGTTAAAATAATTAGAGCAAAATGGACTGGAGGTGTGGCTCAAGTGGTAGAGCGCCTGCTTTGCAAGGGTGAAGTCCTGAGTTCAAACCCCAGTCCCACTGAAAAGAAAAATAACCAGCAGAGCTGGGGACCAGGGTACAAAGAATAGAGACAGAATAAGGACTTGGCCAGTAGACTATCAGAAACTTGATTTGTGGGTACAAACTTGGAGAGAAGATACACTACCTGGTGCGACTGCAGGCCAATGATTGAGGAGTAGGCCTGGATAGTTACATAGATCTCAGGCTGGAAGTTGATGCAAGATCCAGGCACTTGGAAGGGTCGAAGTAGCCCGCCTAGGCAGCGGGACAGAGCATGGAAAACTTCATCAAACAAGATCTCGCCTGTGGAATCATCCTGAGAACAAACACAAAGATCTCTCAGAAGTGCCCAAAGGCAGCCCTAAGCAGAGGTCAGAAATAAGCAACCTCAGTATTAGTAGGACTCTTATGTTATGGCTGATTATGCTCCTAAACACAGTGCCCCACGTGAAGTACAATTTGTCTTTGAATGCTCACCATTCCTTTATAAGTCTGCCTGCTCCCCACAATGTTATGGTAGGATAATTTTTACCTCCCCCCATGCCTCTCTCTCCTCACTCCCCACCCCATTCTTGCTTCCCATTGTCTGCCTCCGAGTGCTTACCACAATGCCAGTAGATGGACTAAGGTCCAGCTCAATGACAAATCGATACTGCCAAGCCAGGAAGGTAACCCGGGTGGAAGGTACAAGAAGGAATGGCCTTGGGACCACTGATTCATCTGGCTGCCACCCAGGTGGCAGGACACTGAGGACTTCCAACTCCTGCTCAGACTGAAGCTGACAATTAGATGGGGAAAAAAGAAAAGGGTCAGAAAGAGTCATTACTTTCTTTCCTGAACCCCAATTCAGCCACTTATTAAGTGTGAGATAATAGAAAAGGCACTTTAACCTCTTTAAGCCTCAGTGTCCTCATTTGTAAAATGGAAATAATCCTAATACCAATCTAAATTGCTATTATGTGGATCAAGGGAACTCATGCATATGAAGTGCTCCCTCAACCTACCTTTTACACCTAAATAGACCCACATCCTGTAAAACAACTACATTATGCGATGCTATCTTTTCCTACTATCTGGAAAAATTATTAAACAAATTTTCCTTAAGGCCAGTTGGATGGTGGCTCATACCTATAGTCCTAGCTACTTGGGATGCTGAAATTGGGAGGATTGTGGCTCAAGGCCCCATCTTCAAAAATAACCACAGCAAAATGGACTGGAGGTGTGATCAAGTAGTATAGCTCCTGCTTTGGAAGCATGAAGCCCTGAGTTTAAACCCACCCCCCAAAAAAAATTTCCCTTAGGGAATCATTTTGTGGGCAAAGTCACTTGTCCACCCCCGTGCATGCCCCCCTCAACTCAGAACTGTCAGAGTTAAGGCCCCTAAAAACAGATCCTTCTCCACCAGCCCCTCATAACCCACTCATCACTAGGCCTCACCAGCAATTCTTGGGGTGTGGCCTGCACAGTTTGATGCAGGTGATTGAGGAACCAAGCCAGGCGAACATTTCTGGAGATTCGATAATCTTTTTTCATCAACAGGAATACCTGTCCTGCTTCTTCCACCTAAGGACAGAGATATTTAATAAATTTTAAAAAAAGGGAAAAAGCACCAAATTACCAATACACACATATCCTGTGCAAGTAGCCTGCCCAAGGAGTTCACACTCTGTGTAAGGCAAGGTAGCAGAAGTGAAGTCTGCTTCTGCTCCTGTGGAAGGTGTTCCCAAGAAGTTAATTCTCAACTCTGCTTCCATTCTTCAACACAGACCTCCACACAGATGAAGTGAGTTTTCCACATTATGCTTCCACAAACATTTATGTCCGTTTCTCCTATAAACTGTAAGCTCTTGAGGGTAGAGACTGTGCCTTGTTCTTTTTTTGACAAATTGATTCAAACATAATACCCAGAAAGTCCCTCCCATGATATATGAACACCAGACAGTTCCTCCTCAATCTTGACCACAGAGCAGCTTGTGCTGAAGAAACCTTCATTGAGTGAATGCAAGCCTCCCAAATGAGTACCTCAAATCAAGCTTCTTTGGGCTACAATCTCTACTCACACACTTCTCAGTTGTCAACACTCCAGTTCCTTTCCTTCATGGTCTCAGAGGTGGTCACTTCAACAATGTCCCAACAAGCCTCAGTTCCCTTGCCTATGTCCTTGTCATTCTACTACACAAGTCTTGGCTAAGCTTGGACTAGGGATGAATGTGACATTCTTTTTTGTCCACACATAAACCAGGGCAGCTGTACTCTTAATAGGGAAAACTTGTCACCTCATCAGCAGTGCCAACTCTAGCAGGCCTTTACCAGTTCCTTTACTTATTCCTGGTCAGCAGGTTTTTCATCTCCCAACCCTGTGCTCCCAGCGGGTCAACTATTCAGAGCATCTACTGTTCACAGAGGAAATAAAGGTCAATTGGCCTGCACTTCTTCAATGTCTTATTCTCCCACTATGGCTTGTGTGAGACAAATCAGACACTTCTCCTTCTGTGTCCCTGACTGTGCAAGGACTGAAGAGAGGGTAGAAGTAAACAGAAGTCAATGGCTGCCTCTTGAGGAACATAACAATGAAAGGAAGTGAAGATTTTTTTTTTCCCCAAAATGAGGATGTATGAGTGGAAAGGAGACTGAAAAAGCCCTGGAAAAGCAGTAAAGCAGTGCGCCTGATGTCAGAAAAGATGGATGGCAGAAATACTGGCTAAGGATGCAGAAAGTCTTTCTTCTCCAAGACAGAAGGCAAGGATAAAAAGAAACAAGTAGATACAGAGAAATGGCAAAGATGGCAGCACAAGGCAAGAAGGAATTCACACCTTCTGAACATCTCTATAGAGGTTAAGTGTAAGAATTCAGATTGAGTCAGCTTGGGCTTGAATTCCCAGGATCAAGGGAATTCATGAATATCCAGCACACTGCCTGGTACTTAGTAAGAACACAATAAAGGTTGGCTATTACAGATTATTACCAGGTTTTATGCTAGATGTTTTACATAGAAACTCAATCAGGGTTTACAGCAAAACATTTAATAGGAGAAAACTGGAGTCCAAAAGAATTAAGTCATTGAACTAAGACATAGGTATAGGGGTCAGAAGTCAAACCAAGGCCTGATGAGTACATGAAATGATAAGCAAAGCTCATCTACTGAGAGTGACAGATATTCATCTTTCACTGAAGAACAGAAAAGATCAGGCATTGTGGTACACATCTGTAATCCCAGCACTTGGGAGCTAGGAGATTTCAAATTCAAGGCCACGCTGGGTTACATAGCAAGATCTTGTCTCAAACAAACAGTGCAGAAAATATTTAAAGTGATGACAAGAAGGAACATGATGGAATAATATGTAAAAAGGATGCTTTGACAAAATCAGGAAGACAAAAAGACAACGTAAGCACTGATATGATGTGACTCCATATTGTTTTGTGTTATGTCTCTAATTGGGAAATATTATACTGTTTCCCTACAGGAAGGTAGGGAAGTGCTGATGTAGACTCTGGCTGGAATATATATTTTATCTGAAGAATGAGGTCAAGCTACTGAAGGGTTTCAGCAAAGCAGCAACAGGATGCCTACATTAAAACAAAACAAAAGACAAGAACTATCCCTGGATAACATATGATTCAGAAAGATCCTCTAAGAAGGGGGAGATGATAATGATCTAGACAAGGGTTACTCAAAGTAGCCATTCTGTGAACCATTTAAGACTGGTCTCCTGCCAGGAGTCAGTGGCTCATGCCTGTAACCCTTGCTACTTGGGAGGCTGAAACTGGGAGGCTTGCAGTTTGAGGCCAGCAGGAGCAATTACTTCGTGAGACCCCATTTTCAAAATAAGCAGAGCAAAATGTACTGGAGGTGTGGCTTAAGCAGTAGGGAGCTGCTATGCAAGGGTGAAATTCTGAGTTCAAACTCCTAGTACCATACACACAAACAAAAGGTCTGGTCCTCAATGAGACAAGGAGTTGAGCTAGAATGTAAAACCACTACTTCCTTTCATTGAGAAAGTCTTCTTACAGAAAGCAAGAGCTCCTGCCTGGCAAACACAAGGATCTGAGTTCAAACCTTTATACCACACACACAAAAAAAAGTTAACCAAATAATCACTCTAATTATCTAATTATTGTATTATTACAAACTAAGTAAGTACTATAAAGGATAAAAATGTGGTTCTGTAACAGCAAGTAACAAGTAACCTGATTCAGGCCAGGGTCTAAAGAGAAAGAGATGGTAAAAGTTGAACAGGGTCTGCTAAATGAAGAGGGAGTGTGGGTAACTCAAGTGGAGAGCAGAGACAAGCACTGTGCTACTTGAAAGTTTTCTTCAAGTTATTAGTGAATAGGTGCACAATTTTATTACTATACAGCTTCCATTTCTCTACTTTTTTCTTGTCTTGAAGATTATTTTGAATACTATTGGCTTTTCCAAGGCTAAACTGAAGGCCAGTTCATCACTTAGTTTTACAAAATCTATCTTCTTGAAACCAGGAACATCAGCCTAGGTTTGTTGCAAAATTCCCCTTTGTGCCAGGCACCGGTGGCTCATGCCTCTAATCTTCGCTACTCAGGAGGCAGAAATCAGAAAGATCACAGTTCAAAGCCAGCTTGGGCAAACAGTTTGTGAGACCCTACCTCAAAAAAAAGGATGATTAGGGTGGCTCAAGTGGTACAGAGTCTGCCTAGCAAGCATAGACCTTGAGTTCAAACCCCAGTACCATCACACACACTCACACACACACACACACACACACACACACACACACACACACAATTCCCTTTGTATATGATCCTTCAAAATCAACATTTCCAAAATCTACTCAGTTCTCTTCATATTCAAGATGTACTTTGTCAAAACCACAAGGTTTAATAATTTAAGCAGTTAGAATGGTATTTTTCTTTCTTTTTGGCAGCACTACGGTTTGAACTCAGGGCCTCATGTTTGCTAGGCAGGTGCTTTTACCGCTTGAGCCACTCCACCAGCCCTGTTTTTGTGATTTTTTTTTTTTTTGAGATAGGGTCTCCCAAACTACTTGCCAGGGGCTGGCTTGGAACCATGATCCTCCTGATTGCTGACTCCTGAGTACCTAGGATTATAGGTGTGAGCCACTGGTGTTTTTTAATGTGGGATGCAAAGGACAGCTGCATCAGAACTACCTGAGGGATTTATTAAAATATACACTTGATTCCTGAGCACCATCAGAGATCAAGTGAAGTAAGAGTTGACAGAGATCAGGAATCTACATTTTATAAGTACCCCCAAAGGAATCTTCCATATTAATGTTTGAGAATTTTTAAATTACTTGTGCTTTCACAGCATTCACATTCATATGGAACTTCAAGTTCCTGATATTAATCCCCACCTTGAGTCTGAAGGGCATAATTCTTAGAATAGTCTGGCAAAGAAGACAAAGAAGGCTTTCAGAGTCAGAGGCCTAGATTCAAATCTGGTTCTATTATTTGCTATCTTGGTCATCTTGGACAGGTTACTTAATTTTTCTAGGCCTCAATTTCTTCACTGATAACATGTTATCAATAAAAATATTTTCATAGAGATGTTGTTGCATTAAATAACATCAGAACAATGGTAGAGGAAGGCTATCATTCTTTGGAATATTTATTGAGGCCTACATACCGTTTATACCAAGATGAATAGAGGTTTAGAAACTTACCCCATTATTTCTTTACCTAGGTGCTTGTCTAAGATCAAATTTCACCAGATCCTCTCCCCTAGTATCTTCAGCACATGCTCACTGTCTTCCTATCCTTCCCATGTTATTCATACATATTGCTCTGCACTTAGTTCCATTTTCATTTCCTTTGATGCTTCTAGTAGTTTTGTTAAGTCTCTCCCTGTAATTTTGCTTTTAATTTTGATTCCTCTTTATGACTTAACAGTAAAAAGGAAGTGTGGTTTTTAAAAAGAAAAAAAAAAAGACTGATAACCAAAAAATACAGAGACTCAAAAAACTAAACTCCCCAAAAATCAATGAACCAATAAAGAACTGGGCAACCAATAAACAGAACTTTTTCAAAAGAAGAAACTCAAATGGCCAAAAAACACTTGAAAAAATGTTCACCATCTCTGGCCATAAAGGAAATGTAAATCAAAACCACACTAAGATTCCACCTCACCCCTGTTAGAATAGCTATCATCAAAACCACCACCAACAAATGTTGGTGAGGATGTGGGGAAAAAGGAACCCTCATACACTGCTGGTGGGAATGCAAGCTAGTACAACCACTCTGGAAAACAATATGGCGGCTTCTTACAAAACTAAACATAGATCTGCCATATGATCCAGCAATCCCACTCCTAGGGATATATCCAAAGGATGTGACTCAGGTTACTCCACAGGCACCTGCACACTCATGTTTACTGAAGCACTATTCACAACAGCCAACTGCCCTACTACTGATGAATGGATTAAGAAAATGTGGTATTTATACACAATGGAATTTTACTCAACCATGAAGAAGAATGAAGTCTTATCATTTGCAAGTAAATGGATGGAACTGGAGAACATCATCTTAAGCGAAGTTAGCCAGGCTCAGAAAGCCAAAAATCGTATGTGCTCCCTCATATGCAGACTTTAGATATAAAACAAATGCAGTAATATTAGTAGACATGGGTCACACCTAAAGGGAGGACACATACAGGAGGAATAGGGAAAGGTAGGAAACCCAAAACTTGAAAGTGTTTGATGGCCCACTGCAGAGGAGCTATATATATATAATATAGTAACCTTAAAATGACAGAGGTCAATATGGGAAGGTGACCGGGAAATAGTGAAGAGGTCTGGTAGAGATGAACCAATTCGGGTTGTAACACACTTGTGCATGAAAGCTAGGAATCTCTCTGTATAGCTACCCTTATCTCAAACTTGCAGAAACGCTATGTCTTTCTTACTATTGCTTATGTCTTCTCTTCAACATAATTGGTTCTGCCGGGAAGCGAGGGGGGTGGGGGAAAGAGATGGTCCATGCACATATTAATAAATGAATTTAAAAAATAAAGAATAAAGCATTACCAGGCACTGTGCCTTATATCATGTATACCAGGATAAATGAAACATGATCTGTCTCATTACTTTGCTTTTTTCTGATATTTTTTCTCCTGTCCCTTGAGATTAATAAGGTCTGAATTATTTTTTGAGCCTTTTCCAACTTATATGTTGTCTTCTGTTAACAAATTCTCACAAAATAATGTCTATCTCCCTCCACTCCTACTATTTGAAGCCTCCTTACCATTATACTTATGCCAAAGTCCTGAGCCTCTAGCATGGCCTCAAGCAGAATCTTCTTTAGCCTTATCTCTCTTACCAATTTTCCTCCCCTCTTTCCAAGGCTCAGGTAAGAGTATGCACTCTAGTGTTGAGTGTACCTAGGACCTGGTTCTGCTGGTTTTACTGCTTATCGGGTATATAGCTTTGAAATAGAGAGGTTAAATCTTCATCTGTGAACAGGAATAATAATAGTGCCTGTTTCATGAGGATTTTTATGAGAATTAGGTATTTCATAAACTTAATTGTCTTTCCTTCAAGAAGCACCCCCTTCTTAACAAAGTGGGTTAAATACCCTGGTTAAACACTGTTAAACACTCCTTTGCAGCACGTATTATCTTAATTCAGTATTTGTTTATTCCATAAAGATAAGGAATATGTCTATCTTACATTGCTCTGTATCCACTCTGATACTTAGCACAAATCTGAGTCCATAGCAACACTCACAAAGTATCTTAACTATTTGATGAATGAGTGATTTTCTAAATATATGCTTTTTCTTTTTCTCTCTCTCTCTGGAGATCCTAACATCCTTTAAAAGTCAGTTAGGTATTTTTTTTTGTTTTCTTTTTTATGTCCAGGAGCGGAACTCTTTGCTCCCTTCACCTTCTGAGATAAAATTTTCAGCAATGCAAACAAACCAAGAATTTAATAAATGTAGGCTGGGGATGTAGCTCAATGTAAAGGACTTGCCTAGCATGCAAGTCCAATCCCCAGTACTCCAAAACAAATGCTTAACTCTAACAAATGCTTAACTTTTTGGCTGTCATCTGTTGTTTCCTTTTTTATGTAACTGTAAGAAAATTTAACATATGTGGCTCATATTAGATTTCTATAGAACAGTACTGTTTTAGACCATCTGCCTAAGAGGTACGTTGTAGTCACCACAGTATCTCTCAATGTCCTCTCATTTTAACCCATGCAGAAATATACTCTAAATTTTTCATAGTTTTCCTTAGTATTGGTATTTTTGATGCATGAGCTAATCTACCACCCTTCTGAAAATGTCTGATTCTTTTAAATAGGGCAGTTTCTGAAAACCAACCATAATCAATCTCCACTGAACTGGAAATTTGCTATCCTGTGGCTGCTTTATGTACACTATAATCATTATGGTTAAGAATACAAGGTCTGGGGCTGGAGGAGTGGCTAAAGTGGTAGAGTGTCTGCCCAGTAAGTGTGAAGCTCTGAGTTCAAACCCCCCAGTACCACCATCAAAAAGGAAAAAAAAAAAAAAAAAAGACACAAGGTAAGTTCAGGAACCAGGTTGTTTTGTTGGAGTCCCAGCCCTAGTATTTATTAGCTGTGTAGCTTTGTTACTCTTTATAGTTCTGTGCCTAAGTTTCCTTGACTGAAAAAACAGGGATGAGTGTATGTTTCACAGGGTTGAGAAAAGATCCATACAGTGCTTAGAATGGTGCATAGCATACAGTAAGTATTGAAAAAGTAATGATTACTATTTGTATCATTATACACATCTCTTACCCTTTCCACCTCTTGTAGTATTGGGCATCTATATACAAATCTGAGATTTTCTGCTTAGACCTCCTAACTCTAAAACTCTTGTTATTTCTCACTTGAGCAGTTTGTAGGTAAAGTGCTTCACCTTTCTGACTTCAGTTTCTTCTCTTTTAAATGACAATATTGCCACCTTTCTTGCACAAGTTTAAACGATACAATGTATATAAAGTTCTTTGCATGGTCCTTAGCATCTAAAGCATAGCTCATATGCCTTTTCTGGCTTAATACACGTGATGCTCACGCTACACCACAGGACAGGTCTTTCTCCGAGTCAAACATTTTTTGACTGCTTCTCAAATCATAAGCGCTACACTAAATTAATGCATGCGGTTTTTTTCATCCCAAGGTTTGCAGAATGCAGAAACCTGCAAAATCGGTTCTGCTGCCGAGTTGCCCACTCAAACTGCAACAAATAATTAAGACAGGTTTTGTTAATATCACTATCATTAGGTCAACGAGTCGACGACTAGGATGAAATTTCAGTAAAAGCAAGGCAAAGAACTTCTCTAGTCTCCCAAGAAAATTACGGGCGATGGAGAGCGGGTTCGATCGTCGGGCCTTGGAGTCTGGGTCGGTCCCTACAGAGGCGACGCGGGAGGAGGCCAAAGCCACACCTGCCCTTCGGACCCTCCCCCTCGGGTCTCGGGGCCCAGCGACGCACCCGCCCGCCCCTCACCTCCGGCTCCGGGCGCTCCGAGGCCATCACACAGCCCTCCCGCGCCGACCCGGGACAGGAAGGCTGTTCCATTCCTGACCCCTGACCCCGCTGCCTCGGCTCCGGACAGGAACCGGAAGTTACTAGGAGGGCCGAGTTCCCCGTTTTCTGATTGGTGGATGAAGCCCCTCAGCGATCAGGAAGCCGGAAGTGGAGGTCGCTGCAGCAGCCTGGGCTGTCGCAATGCAGGTGAGTACGCGGCTGATCTACTTGCAGCTAGTTAACCGTGGGCAGTGGGACAGGGAGTGGGCTAGCTAAGGACAGTGAGGAATTGGGACAGAGAGGAGATGGCAGAAGGAGAGGCTGTTGAGGGAACGCGGAATGGGAGGGAAGGGGCGAGGCCAACTGCAGAGGGAGCCGCGCAGTCGAGAGATAGGGGTTGAGTACAGCTAACAGAAGAAGGATAGGGTTGGCTAAGTCGAGAGGAAGGAGGCAGCGCTGACTTGCTTGAGTGTGGGAAAGGGTTAGGTTGTCATTTGGGAAAGCTGAGATGCAAGCCAAGGAAAGATGCCTCAAGAAAGTGGTGGGCTGGCTCTGGTCGACCTGGGCTGTTGGATGCAGAGGTAACAGGGTATCTGTAACTGGAGAGAAGTTTAGGGCTGACACTAAGCCTTTTGTAATCTGAGACTGTGGGTGGAACACAGAATCGATCCACTGTCAGGTTTGCAAGAAGATTTTGCATCATTCTTCCCGGCTGGTGCCCAATAGTTGTTAAGGGTGAAGAAATGGGGTAAAACAGGAGACTACAGGTGATGGGACGAAAGTGCTTTGCAGACCCCCAGCATTTAAAGTTGTCTAGTGCTCAGAAACACAAACAGGTTTTCTTGTTTTCCATTCCGTTTTTAATTTATTTTCTTGTACTTGGTAGTCTCTCAATAAATGTCTATGAGTCAGCTGAACTTGTGGAAAGGGCACAGAAATACTGGCACAGGTAAATAAGTGAGCATTAATTCAGCAAGGAGAAAATTGAAACATCAATAGTAAAGATAAATGAAGAGCTATGGAGCAGAGCAGGGGGAGTGCAGAGAACGCCTCATGTATAGGCAGATTTTCCAGAGATTGTGTGGTTGACAAGAATAGCCAGGCTCACAAAGAAGATTCTAAGACCAAGGAAGATGGTGTACATGTGCTGTAGAGGTGCCCATAAGATAATGAACTCCAGGAATTAGGTCTGGTGAAAATTTCCCAATGAAGGAGTGCAGGGTATACCTAATACCATGCATGGATTAGGAGGTGCTAAGAGAAGGAATCGGTTAATAGGAGGACTTAAGGTCAGGTGAATAGGTTGAAAGGTCTAGGGGTTGATTTGTCTGTAACCCAAATACCAAAGATAGAAAACAACTTGGCTTTTCAGCTTTCTTCTGTATGTGTCATACATCTGTCTGGGTAACCAACCTGTTATTATTGATGCAGAGGGAGGAGAAGCAGCTTGAGGCATCATTAGATGCACTGCTGAGTCAAGTGGCTGATCTGAAGAACTCACTAGGGAGTTTCATTTACAAGCTGGAGAACGAGTATGACCGGCTGACCTGGTAAGGGTTGCCAGGGCAAGCTGAGGAAGGCTCTATGGGTGGGGGCCCAACCCCCTGATAGATAGGACATCCCCAGTGATGTAATCATTTATCAGTTTGTAAACATCTTTTGATTTGGAAAGAGCTGGGTTGCCCAACATTTAACTAGTATAGTTTGGCTTGAGGACTCCATGGCAAGGAAATAGAGAAATGGCCAATTTCCCTGCCTGGGTTGTTTTTAGATTTAGATTGTTCCCCTTCAACTCTGGTAGGGAGGTCTTCTACTAGGGGATATATATTCATGCTGGATTTTTTTTGTACAGATGTGGCTGAATCTTGTATCAAGCCTACTCTGGAATGGTGAATCCTATTTCCAGGTTGGAAAGGAAGCTTACCCAGTTCTGTTTTTTTTCTTTCTTTCTTTTTTTTTTTTGTTGTTGTTGTTGGCAGTACTGGGGTTTAAACACGGGGCCTCATGCTTGCTAGGCAGGTAGATGCCAGCCCTGTTTTGTGCTGAGTATTTTTGAGATAGGGTATCATGAATTATTTGCTCGGGTTGGCCTTGAATGTCAGTCTCCTGATCTCTGCCTCCTGAGTAGCTAGGATTACAGGTGTGGGCCACAGGTGCTCAGTTTATCTAGTTTCTGAATTTTTCACTCTTTACAGTTTAGCCATGATTACTATTTTGTCACTGTTCCTCACCCCAAACAGTAAACTGCATTTTTTTTTTTTTAGTACATCTGTGTCAAATTGAAATGTGTTCCCCCTTTTATAACCCCATCTTTCCTGTTTAGCCATTCTGGTTCTCACTTTGGCTAGTCATAGTGCTTATGAATCTTTTGGGGGTGAGTCTGGGTATTCCTAGTTTGAAGGACCTCTTAGAGATTATTTTATAGGGAAGGGGTGGAACATTCTGACACCTTCTTATCACCACTAGGCCCTCTGTTCTAGACAGCTTTGCATTGCTGTCTGGACAGTTAAACACTCTGAACAAGGTCTTGAAGCATGAGAAGACACCACTATTCCGTAACCAAGTCATCATACCTCTGGTGTTGTCCCCAGACCGAGATGAAGATCTCATGGTAAGAAGAGAAGGGTATAGCTTGGGGAATTTAGTTCTTAGATGAAAGTCTGGAACACAATATTTGATTGGTCATTCTAGAAGTTCTGGATGTGGGGTAGTATGTGGCAATAAGCAGCAAGGGATGAATCCTGGAAGCCTTGCTTTTTGTCCTTCTAGAGGTGGGGGAACTGCTCTCAAATAGTGCTATAAAAACCCTGAGGCCTATGTCACCAAGGCAAAGACCTTCCTCTTCCAACATCTGTTTTGAGCAAACAATCTGTTCTTTTGTGACATTACCTATTCCAGTCTTTAATTAAAGTGTGTATGTGTGTGTGTGTGTGTGTGAGAGAGAGAGAGAGAGAGAGAGAGAGAGAGAGAGAGAGAGAGGAGTTTAATTTGTCCATAGGTATGATAGAGATAGGTGTATGAGAAGAAAATAATAGAAGCGTGAATGGGACATTGTCCTAGGAAGCTAGATATTGTGTGTCTCCTGAAAATGTATACTTTGCCTGTGTAAAGGAAATCGGGCCAGATTGACCTTGGAGTACACAACAGGATCAATACAATTTGTGTTACAGCGGCAGACTGAAGGACGGGTACCTGTTTTTAGCCATGAGGTGGTCCCTGACCATCTGAGAACCAAGCCTGACCCTGAGGTTGAAGAGCAGGAGAAGCAACTGACAACAGATGCTGCCCGCATTGGTGCTGATGCAGCTCAGGTTGGACTGAGTCACTGTCCTGCTGACCCCATCCCCATCCCATAACAAGAAGGAAAACATTACCACTCCTGTGTAGTAGGGATGCACAGCTGGTTATACCTAAGCTGCCTCTGAAAGAGCACAGGGAAGAAACTTCTTCATAATTATCTACCCTAATTGCAATACCAATTTATGTGTTACAGAAGCAAATCCAGAGCTTGAATAAAATGTGCTCAAACCTTCTAGAAAAAATCAGCAAGGAGGAGCGAGAATCAGAGAGTGGAGGTAAGGAAGGATTGGTGGCAAAGCAGAGGGAAAAGTGTATAAGATCACTGGAATAGGGATGGTGTTTTGGGTAGTAAGAAAGTGAGGATACAAGAACAAACTGCTTAGGAAAGGATTTGCATCCATACTGTTAACCTTTTATTTAAGGCTGGCCTTGGAGCACATGGAAGAAAAGGGCAAAGTGAGAAGAGAGAATTCAGAGATAGGCTTAGGGTCTTCTGGCTCCTCTCCTGGGCTGTGACAGAGTCTAGATGCTGCTGAAGTCAGAAATACGAGCAATCATCACTGGCCTTCCAGCTGCTAGGTTTAGTCCAGGGCCAGACACATACTTCAGGATGCCCACTTTTTCTCCAGGTCTCCGGACAAACAAGCAGACATTTAACCCTGCAGACACCAATGCCTTAGTGGCAGCTGTTGCCTTTGGGAAGGGGCTGTCTAATTGGAGACCTTCAGGCAGCAGTGGTCCTGGCCAGCCAGGCCAGCCAGGAGCTGGGACGATCCTTACAGGAGCTTCAGGACTACAGCAAGTACAGATGGCAGGTGCTCCAAGCCAGCAGCAGCCAATGCTCAGTGGGGTACAAATGGCTCAAGCAAGTCAACCAGGTAAGGTGGCAGGGATTGAAATGTACCTGAGTTTGAGCAGGTATGTGGGAAGGAGGTGAATTTACTGAGCCCCAACATCTACAGACTTGGAAATTTTCTCTTTTGCACTATAACTCCAAAAACAATTTTCAGCAGCAAAAAATCTAAGACTGTAATAGTCACTGGAGTGAGGAAAGACTCTGAGTAGCAGAAGCTGCTCTTGCCTCCCATTTTGTCTCAGTTGTCCTATTTACAATGGATATTAAGTGTGATCAGTGTCTCTTCTTAGGTAGAGAAATCAATGGTCATATCTTAAGACCATTTGGTAGGTAAATCAGGAATTGACAAGCAGGTAGTTTTCCAGTACTACTTTTTTTTTTTTTTTTGGCAGTTCTGGGGTTTGAACTCAGGGCTTCATGCTTGCAAGGCAGGCACTCTACCACTTGAGCTATGCCCCGAGCCTCTACATGTATTCTTTTGTTCATTCCCTGTCTCTCTTGTTCTTGGCTTCCTGCATTCTCTTGTGCTTGCTTTTAGTAATGATGAAAACAATTTGGAGGAGTTTAGTGCAAGCAAAAGAAGAGATATTTCTTCCATGCTGTCTAGGAAAAAGGGTGACTAAAACTTTTAGATAAAACTCTTTTAGTTGTGACATTAAACAGGGATCCCAAAGGTTTAGCTGTCTTTTCCAGGAGCAAATGAGCAGGAGCCCATGCTGGAGCTCATTCTGACCCTTGCCACTATTCTCTCAAATCACTGGTTTTGTCCTAAATATCTTCAGTGAGGGAGATGAAGAACCACACCTCTGATCTCTGCCAACCAGGGTAAGGTGCCATAGAGATTCTGAGATAATAAAAGATGTTGCAGGAGGGAACCATGTTTCTGGCTTATTGTGAAAGTCTTACCTTGCTTCAGATGTGTTTCTTTGTGTTCCTTTTAGGGAAAATGCCAAGTGGAATAAAGACCAACATCAAATCAGCTTCAATGCATCCCTACCAGCGGTGAACATGGATGACAGCCTCTACTCCCAGGTGATACTGCAGAGTTGGGCAGTGAAATTACCTTTTGCTCTAGGCTCACCTACATGGGTGCAGCAACAGACAAATCCCAGCTCCACCAGTGAATAGCTATGTGATGTTGGCCAAGTGACCTACTTATTCTGGGCCTGTTTTCTCATTTGTAAATGGTGATAATACCTACCTCATAGGGTTGTTGTGAGGATTAAAATGAGAAAATGAATGTAAAACACTTAGCACAATATATGGAATAATGGGTATTCAATAAATGGTAGTTTCTGCAGCCACTTCTCTACCCTGCCAACCACAGTCCTTGATCCAGAACTCACTTGATCTGATACTGCTCCATAACGATAGTGAGCTGATGGACACAGGATCAAATAAACCTATACTGATTTTGTAGCAGCCTGAATGTCCTTGAAGGCATGTTGTCTCTGTGGCCTTCTCACCCACATTCTGTCCTGCTGGCCCTCTTAAGCTACAGTTGAAAAGGCTTCTGGGCTGGGACAAACAATCTATCTATAACGCTGGTGAAGCTTGGGCCTTGCTACTCTTTTACCTGGGAAATAGGTAAAAGTCCTCATTTTTTTAATCCTCCCTTGTATGCATGAAGATGTCAAGGGATCAGTAGGTGGAAGTGCCTTTGCCAGGCAGGACTGTATAAGAAAGTTTTCCTAAGCTGGGTGCCAATGGCTCATGCCTATAATCCTAGCTACTTAGGAGGCAGAGTTCAGGAGGATTGTGGTTTGAAGCCAGCCTATCTCTAAAACCCTTCACAAGAAAGGTCTGGTGGAGTGGCTCGAGGTGTAGGCCCTGAGTTCAAAACCCTAGTACCAAAAAAAAAAAAAAAAAAAAAGGAAGAAAGAGTTTTCTCATAGCACATGTAAAACCCCCCTTTTCCTCTGTACTTTTTTCCTTATTTTGGAGGGAGAGAGAGAATTGCACTTCGTGCCATTTTTCATCAGGGCTTAGATGAATTTATAATAGTGGCTTGTTTGTACATGCTGACCAGCATGGCTTTCTTCCCTTTCACTAAGCCTCTGGCTTATGATTGATGGTTTGAGGGATAGTCCCAATAGCATTGCCTGCTTTTATAGTGTTGAAGAACAGAGTTTTGACAGCCAACCATGCGTCTTTTCTCCGTGCTCCTTTGTGGGCAAGAACAGGGATTGAATCAGCAGAAGTGGATCAAAAGATTTCTCAATTAAATAAAGTTATTCAAATTCATGTCCACTGGCTCAGGGTTGTTGGACAGCAATTCATGAGAGAGCTGATTTATGGATCAGAGAGTGTCAACAGTGCTCAAGGAAATTCTAATTTGTTATCCATAAAACATTTCCTGACCTTTAATAATTTTTGATCTAGAAACCTTCCAGGTCATATCCTCTAGATGCCTTTTTTTCTATACTGTCACACACTGGTAATTTGGCCTTTAATCAGTGTCAGACAGCATTCTGCCAGGCTGTGGCAGCCCAGGCCTAGAAAAGTGGTTCTAGATGTCACTTTTTCTTGTTCATTAAGACAAGAATGGTGTCCACAGAACTCAGTGACCACAGTATACCACAGCAGGAGAGTTCTGTCATCAGCAGTGAGGTAACCCCTGACCTTTCCTCCACTTATATAGGCTGACCTATTAGCTTATTCAGGTGTTGTTTATCTTCTCGCCTCTTTCCTTCCCACTGGAAATGTCAAAGCTAACTGAGATATTGGTTAGAGCTCTAGCTGGACTTTCTAGACCCCTGGAACATCTTTCACTGACTGCTGTATTTTATTCCACCAACGGTACCATGCTGGCTTGGAACTCACGATCTTCCTGCTTCATCCTACCTTGTGCTGGGATCATAGACATGTACCACCATATCCAGTTTCAATCCCAATTTTGTTGTTCCAGGCTGATACTGACTTCATTCCCACCATATTATTGAAATGGGTTTCTTGTCCTCTAAGAACAGGAATGTCCCTCTGCCCCAGGGGGAACAAATGCAGGACCTCACCTACATTCTGTGCCCTTAAGAAACACTCCATACTGAAGGTGCTTATATCTTTGTGTTAAAGTCACTTTGGAGTATATGCTGTCATTTCCATCCCTACCCCAAAAAGAACACCTCTGGGTACACAAACCTCTGTTCCATCTCCCCTTTGGGGCCGTACACTTCAGTGAATACCTTAGTGGAGAGAATGTACCCCTCCCACTTAGTCCCTCAGGAGTGGAATGTATATGGAGTTCCCTGGGGAGAAGAGGGCATGACTGCTTACTTGCTCAGATTTAGGATTTGCAAGAAGTGATTCTTGCCTTACTTTGGTAGTATCCCTGTTTCTGACCACCCTGTTTTGTACTTTCTCCTATTTTTGAGGCCTCTGGAAAAAGGGATTAGACTGTTTCTCTCGGGTTTGTTTCTAGGATGGAGAAAGCAGCAGCTGTGAGACCTCAAGTGCTTACTGCAGCCCAATTCATCCTCCTGAAGGTGGAAGCCTATTAAATCAATGTCAGCCTAATAATGTCCATTGCCTAAGACCTTTTCCTCTCCAATTCTGCCCTGAGGCTGGGGTTCAGTCATTGCTGAACCTCCCTTCAGTCATTGCCCAGTTCACCTTGTTCTCTCCTTCCAGTGTGTTTGCTGCCCTGTTTAGCAGGCTCACCTCAATCGTACTGTTTTGGGAAACAGCTAAGACAAATAGGTTATAGCCAAGTGCTCTTTTCAGCTCTATAATGCGTCCCAGCACTGCGCCTGAGCTGGAGGGGATGTGATTGCTCACCTCCTGTCCTATTGTAGCAAGAAAGAAGCTGAACTTGACAGGAATGCCCTAGTGCAAGGCTGGGCCCTTTTCCCACCCCCTTTCTTCCTCCCCCAGGCAGCTGGAAACAACCTCTCCCTTTGTCTGAGTTTCTTGAACAGAATAATCCTCCTTATGGACAATGTATTCTCTGTGTCCTGTGGACACAGGAGCTGTGTGAGCTGATCCCAGCACCAGGCAGGACTGAGGCTGAATCCTTCCAAATGCCCACCCTGGGTCAGCTCCTGATTACTGAGCAGAGAAACTACTAAGGGGTGTACATTTTCTTCTATCTATTCCAGAATTGGGTGTGTGGGGCTAGCCTATTGCAGTTTAGCATTGGCCAAAAGTAGGACCAGGAGTTGTGGTTCCTTTTCTGGTCAGCCCTGAAAGTTCACAGGGCCAACTTAGGCTTGAATCGGCTCTTTTCTGAAAGTCTGGAATGCACAAGGGCTAGCACTTGGAAAGAATTTGCCATCCTTCAGATGGGGCTTTCTGACTGGAAGAAAAGGCATCTCCAACTATCTGATAGGACCAGAGTGCTCCAAACTTCCTCTCTTCCCTTTAGCAACTTCTATCTCTTCTGTTCTTGAACTCCACATGTCACTAAGGCAGATCTTGGGTTTCTAATGTGTTCCCTTGATAAGTCATGTGCTCTCAGGATGTCAGCTACCATTTGAATGTGGCAGTTTCCTGGGCACAGCACGGACAAGGCTGTAGATGTTCCTGGACCTCAGTTTTCTCACCTGAGTGATCTTGGTGGTCTCTAACAATTATGCTTAAGCCCACTTATGCAGGTATTTTAGTTTTTGTTTTCCTTACCGTAGGACCAGTACAGTTATGTAGATAGGCCAGAGTTTTCTTACCTCAGCCCCTAGTTCCCTCAGACCCCTACAAACTTCCTAAAGTTTCTTCTCTCATCAACATTCATATAAACTACTTTCCTAACACTGTTTTCTAGCTTTCATATCATTCTCTGGTGAAGATTCATCAAAGAGGCAATAAGTTGCCACAGAGGTACATGTATGTCAGAAATCACCTTTTGACTCTCAGACATTTGTCTCTCCTCTGGACAAGATGTAGTCCTCCAGAATAGTCAGGAAGTTGTACTGTTTTCCATATTTGGTTTCCCACTGAACCAAATATAAAGTGTCCTGGGAAGCTTCTCTACCTACTTTCTCTCTGCCACTCATCTGCCTTCCCTTGCTCTCACAATTCCCTAGTTTGTGGTCTTTTCATTCATCATGTTTTGCCCTCTCCCTACATACAGATCATCCTTTGTTTTGGGGTTTTTTTTTTTTTTTTTTTTTGCTTATTTCTCTGGACTACACCTACTTTCATGGTCTAGCTAATGTTGTTTTACATGTTACAAAGCCTTCTTGGCCCTGTATGCCCTCTGACTTAATTCTTATATGACTTAATCTCTCCATAGTATTTAACAGTACTGACCATTTCCTTTAAGTCTGTCCCCCCTGACCATCCCTGCCACCTGGGCTTTTGTTGCCCTGTATTCTGCTTGTTCTCCCAACTCCTGTGGCCATTCCTTCTCTGCAGCTTTTAGACTTTTGAACTTCTGCTTGTTTCTTAAATGTTATTCTCTAGGACTTATCCTTAACCCTCTTTTCTTCATGTGCTACCTGCGTATCTATGACCACCATTTTTATGTACATAACTCAAGCAAATTTTATTTTCAGCCCAGACATCTACTGAGCTACAGCTTCCTGTTGGGCATCTCTGTATATATGATTCACAGGCTCCTCAGGTTTTGGATGTCCAAATCCAGTCACCCCTGCCTCCCCTATACCTGCTTTTCTCATTTTTCTGGGCATTACCTAAGCCAGGAATGTGGGATCCATCCTGGACTATGTTCCCAGCTACCTCCCCTATAACCAATCAGATACCAAATCCTATCAGTTTGACTCCCCAGTATCCATCCATCCTGACCTGTAGTTTAGGCTCTGGGCCTCCCTCAGTAGAAATATTATTCAGTGTTCCTCTTCTAGTCCTGGAAACTCCAGCTATTCTTCCAAAAGCCTGCCAGATACATCTTTCTAAACTGCAGATCTGATCATATTACTCCTTTGATCAAAATCGTTTTATTTACTCTCCATGTTTCTCGCACTGGGGTCCACACACCTGGCAATTGGTAGGGGCACTGTGCTAGGCATATGAAAGTCACATGATAAAATCATCCTGGAATCTTCGTTTTACAAGAAGGTAAGCAATTAAAACAGGAAACGCAAATTTAGCAGACATGCATTATTAAGAAAAAATAGACTTTAAAATATTCCTGCTACTCCAGACTAAGCCATCAATTCCTTGGGGATACTTACTTATTTAATTTATTTATTTTCTTATTTTTGACCGTTACATGTACTTCATTGGAAAAGTTCCTAAAACAGCTCACATTTCCTGGAAAGGCAAGTAAGAGTCTATGATCTGTCCCCCTTCCTCCTCCTCACTTATCCTCTGTATTGTCTTGCTACTCACTTAGTTCCAAAAGCC